CGCTTTTCAGCAGCCAGGTACTTGGCCTGTGGCTGTTTTGGGTGGTTGAGAAACTGCTCTCGAGGTGCCTTCCTGACAGCTCTGTGGGTGTCATCCACACCCGCCCGCACACAGCTCCTGAGAGAAGCTGCTGGGGGAGGAGGAGAGCAAGTGCAGGGAAATGGCTGTGGGGAGGGCTCTGTGCTGGAGGATGAGATGAAAACCAAGTGATGGAGCCGTGTCTGCATCCCTGCAGGCTGCGGGGGCTTCGGGTGACGTGGGAGCTGACGGATGAGTTATGCTGGGGCCTGTGAATGGGCGCATCAGGGCTAGGTGTGGGTCACCCATGTGTCAGTGTGGCGTGCATGGGCATCACCCTTGCGTGAGGAGAGAGGGGTGGTCGGCTTGTTTTGGGAGCAGAGCAGCAGGGATGTAAAATGCACTGAGGGCCAGTAACAGTGACAGACTTGAAAGACTCCGTTGTGGCAAGAACCCCAGGCTGACATGTGAAAGGTTGTGCGCCAGATCCTTCCTGGACTAGCTGGTAGTCTTGAGTACCTTGTGAGAATGGTGTAAGTCAAGGGTTTGTGATTAGTAGTGGTCATCCTTCAGGTGCAGTAGAAACTTCTACAAGTTCTGGAGCCTGCTGTTCGGAGCAGGAGATGCTACAGGCTGCTAGTTGCTGCAGGTAAAGGCATTTTTCCTGCTTGTGACTACCAGAGCTAAGCTTCTCCCCATGGTCTGCAGAGATTGCTCTGGAAGCAGCCATAGAGGGAACTGAGATCTATTCTCAGTGACTTTTCCAGGTAATTGTGAAGGGATCTTGTGACTGTCTTCAGTTCAAGGCCACTTCTACCTTGGTCTCTGTTCCTTTGGTAACACAGTCTGTAAGCTTTTGCTTTTACCCTCCTGGGTACTGGAGTAAGAGTGGGCTCACCCATACCTCCGTGAGCATTTACACTGGGGTATCTTGATCCTGAAATGCTTCGGATAGAGCATCTTACCATTACAGCTGGCTCTGCTGAGTGGTCTGGGCAGGATCAATCACTGGGGCATTGTGGGACCTTCCACTGCAGCTGGCTGCCTTCCTCCTATTGCAGGTGAGATGCTTTGCACAGCCACACGTGCAGCAGATGTGTCCTCTTCTGCTAAACAGGAGATACTGGAGGACAGCAGAGAGAGTGCAAGGTGCACAACAGCTTCTGTGCAAGGAGTGGTCCAACAGCTGGGACTGCACAGTGTGGAAAGGAGGGGTTGTGGTGAAAGATGGGGGTGCTGGTGAGGCTGGCTAGGTGTGTTATGTTAGCTTACCACCTCTGGTACTGCAGCTGGGGCATCCAGTGAAGTCAGACCTGAAACAGAAGAAAGTAGGTTTTGAAGGAATGGGTATTTGTATTGGTGAAACTCCTCACTAGAGAAATGCAGAACTGAAATTTTACATGGTTTTAAAAGGAGCCAGAACAATTACTCAAAGGAGAGATTTTTGTGGTTTACCAGATAGACAAACCACAGGAGATTCTTGAGCTGAAGAAGCCAGCAGCCACAAATATGTGGGGTCAGTGTCATGTACTCTCACCCTTGTTCCTGCTCTTCCTGGGCTCCCATGTGCCCACTGATGCTGGACATGGCTGGACGGAGCTCAGCCTGAATACAGATGGCCATTCTCAGGTAGTGATGTTGGGCAGCCTCCTGCCCTCAGCAGAAGATGCTGCTGGGGGCAAAGCAGCCCCTGCCAACCCGAGGGAGGGTAAGCAGCCCTTGGTAGGGATCTGGGGCACCCAGAGGGCACCAGAGCAGTGTGGTAGTGTCAGCAGGTACCAGTGTATCCTCCCTGCTGCAGCTTGGGACAGGCATTAACGGTGACCATGAGAGCATCACTGCCGGTGTCTCCATCCTGCTCCTTCCCACCAGTGGGGCTGTCACTTGGGTGCAGGGACTTGTGGTGGTGGGAGTGGGGTTGCACCATGCAAAGAGGTGCCAGTGCCCTGGCATGTGCTGCTGAGCAGAGATGATGTGGGTGCAGGCCAGCACACCGGGACCTGTGGACTGATGGTGCCATGCACAGGCTGGGAGGGACACATCAGGTTGATCATGAGGGCTGGCTGGTGGACTGGGCTGGAGTTGGGTGTTGGCACATGTCGGGAGCTGATTGACAAGCAGAGGTGTGCAGGTTGTACGTTGGTGTTTCGGGTTAAGCGTGCTAATGGCAGTTACTAATTTGATGTGTTGTATGGCTGAACGTTAGTTCAGTTGGCATTGTGGTGCTGTTAGGTGTCTGTGTTAAGGTTTACTCAGAGGCCTTTGCAGCAGGTCAGAAATCTAACTGTTGCTAACCTGGAGCTTGGTTAAAAACCAAAGATCTGTTAGAATAGTTAGCACAGGAGGCAGCTATGGAAAATCTGGAGACTTTCTCTGTGCTGAGCATCTGCGAACAGAAAGAGAAGAGAACAGCCTGCCCTCTCCAGGTCTCTCTCTGCCTGCCTTTTCTGTCTTAAGGCTCAGTCGGTGAGTGCATTTGACTCCTGCTCTGCTCAGAACCCCTTGAAAAACCTGCTTGGTTTTTGCCAGTTTTCTATTGTTTGAGAATAACGTGTTTTTAGTGAAACAGTGCCCATACGCTGCCTTGTCTAACCAGGAGGGAGGGAATGCCAGAAGGCAATGGAAGGTGGTTTAGCCATCTCAGTGGACTGGGAAAAGGACTAAGTGGAGCTGCAGTTGCAAGTGGAGGTGGCAGCTATTTTTAGACCAAGTAATGCAGTTGGAAATACAGGTGTGCTGTTACCTTTTTGAAAGGTCACAAGAACTTAACATTTTCCTCCTAACTTGCTGGTTGTTTTAATAAAAACTTTACTTCTGCCTAAAAAAAAAGAAAGGATAGGTGAAAGAGACCATGAAGAAACAATTCCGCTAAAGAACCTTCATGATGGTTATAAATAACCTTGTGTAACTGCATCAGACTCTTATTTTATTTGTCTGTAGCTTCTGATGAAGAAGTGTTACTAAGTTAGTGTATGAAAGGTAAACTTGAGGTGTGAGCTTTGTCTTCTTAGGTCTTGACACGATGGGCAGACGCGCTGTGGCCTGCAGGAGCTGACGGCTGCACAAGAGCCCTGCTGAAGGCACAGTAGTGGATCATCTCGTTTCCCCTCATGTACGCTGAGCAGCAGCAGGTCAGCATGCAGATGTGCAGGCAGGCAGGGCAGGGTCCTTGCCAGCCCTCTGGCCACGGTAATGGGCTCATCCCCACACAGCTTTGGCCTCTGCATCTCCCACTGGTTCACTGGGTGAGTCAGGTAGAGATGAGACGATGTGTTAGCTTGGGGAGAGGGGGGGCTGCAGCTGCCATGTGCCCAACCTCGCCCTGGGAGATACAAGAACATTAACTGGGATGAAGATAGCCACTGACTGGCACTGGCAGGGCTGAAGAGCTTGCCATTGCCCTCTGATCCTGCCTGTGCCTGGCAGCATCTCCTGCACTGCTGTGGTTTCAGGCTGCTGTTCTTGGCACAGCCCCGGATGAAACACCTACTCAGCAGAGACCTGCAGCGCCAGCTCACCCAGCCGGTTTGGGCAGTGCTGGTGCAGGCACAGAGAGCTGGGGTTTGCACTCGAAGCCCTGGTGGAGTCGGGGCTGCCAGGGGCAGCTTGGAGGAGCTGTGGAGTGGCCACTGCAGGGACGGGGTAGCAGGGCAGGTCTAGGGCCATCCTTCCCTCAGACCTGGTGTCCCACTGCAGCCTTGGGTGACATCTGAGCACCAGTAGCACCAAGGCTGTCATCTTTAATCATAGAATCATGAGTGGTTTATCTTGGAAGGGACCTTAAGGCTCATCCAGTTCCAACCCCCTGCCACAGGCAGGGACACCTTCCACCAGACCAGGTTGCTCCAAGCCCCTGTCCTGTCCTGGCCTCGGGCACTGCCAGGAATGGGGCAGCCACAGCTTCTCTGGGCAACCTCTGCCAGTGCGCAGTCACTGCCTACAGTCAGGTCTCGTGGAGTCACCTCTTCCCTTCTTGAACCCATGTGAGATTTCCATTCATTGTGGCAGTGAATTCCACAAGTTTATTACAGGTTCTTCAAGAAGCTGTGCTCCCACAGGTTTCCTGTCTCCAAAAATCCTTTATTATTTTTATGCGATTAACATAGAGCAAGTGCTGCTCTTTTGTTTGAGCCCCCTACCCCGTAGCCATATGGCTTTGGGTGGAGGATGCACTTCCTCATTCAAGGTAAATGAAGGATTCTAGGTTTGTTAGGAGTGGCTGCTGGCTTCTTCTGATAATCAAGGTGTTCCCCAGGCTCTTGCTCCTCCTCTGGTTTAATTTGGGAAGTCTGTTGTTTGACCAGGTCCTGGAGCTTGTGTGGATGTAAATGAAGTGTTGGTGATTTCTGTGTCCCGAGAGGGGGTGTTTCCTGTGCCGTTCAAAGCCATGCCTGATTGTTACAACCTTCTAAAGCCTATTACAATGTTCTGCAAATTACATAATGGACACATAATTAGTTATGCTCACTTTCAATCATGAACATAGATTATAGGGTGCCTTCAGTTCTTTATCTGCACTGTGTACAGCACACCGGTGGTGTAGCCCAAGTACAGCTTTCAGGGCACTGCTTTCACTAGTGTGTGCCCTCAGTTCTGGTCTCCTTTACAGCATGTTCCCCCAAAAAAAACCTCATCTGGTCTCTGGTGCTTCCATTGTCCCATGTACCTTGAGGAAGGGGATGCTTCAGGGCCTTTTGTGCTCCTGAAGGACAGGAAGGAAGGTCCCCAACCTGTGGTACATGGGCTCTGTGCTGCTGTGCTGCCTGCTGCCTGCAGCTTGGATGCTCCTTCCCATCTGGAGCTCCAGCCACATGGGCATGGGCAGTGTTGGGACCTCGTGCAGCTTCTTGCCTCTGGACAAAGTGGAAGGGAGGGAAGAGCCACGGATCTGCTTGGAGGGAGCAGGGAGAGCGTGGCAGGATCCTTGTTGGGATCTGAGAAACACCACAGTGACCTGATGATTTCTCCCCTTTGTTCTGCAGATTCGTTTGTGAACAGCCAGGAATGGACCCTGAGTCGCTCTGTGCCTGAGCTGAAAGTGGTGAGTACTTGCGACTCGTGCCTCGGATACCCCTGGTTCTCTGATGTTTTCCAGATCCCCAAGAAAAATACATGTTTTAAAGTGGCCAAGTGAAAATGCAGAGAGACCTCAGCCCTGCGAGGGGGAGAGAGGACCTGGAGCTGCCGTTGTGCTGTGGGAATCACGGAATCATAAATGGTTTGGGTTGGAAGGGACCTTAAAGATCATGTAGTTTCAACCCCCTGTTGTGGGCAGGGACATGTGCTCTAAGGTGTCCCCGGAGCCTTCTCTTCTCCAGGCTGAACAAGCCCAGCTCTCTCAGCCTGTCTCCATAGCAGAGGTGCTCCAGCCCTCAAAATCTCCTGCGGACTTCCTCCAGCAGCCCTATGTCCTTATGTTGGGTCCCCAGAGCTGGACGCAGGACTGCAGGGGGGTCTCACAAGAGTGGAGTAGAGGAAGGCAAAGGAGGGGCAAGGTTTCTTGGAGGCACACACACATAAGTGAGAGGGTGTTGATCTTGGAGAACACTCAAGACATGTAGGTCAAAAGGCAATATTTGAGTACCTCGCCCTTCCTGCTAGCTGTAGGAGAGCTGTAATTCTTGATCAGGTACTGCTGCATGGGCTAGACTTCCAGGCATAGCAGAAGCAGGGGCAGATCCTGAGCAGTGGGTCAGGCATGCATCTGCTGTGATCAGTCTCAGAGCTGCTTTGGAAGTGTGGCAGTTACCCTGTGGGAGATGTCACCTCTCTGAGCCTCGCTAACTGCAGCTCCACACTGGGGCTTCCCTGGCCTCTGCTGGCCACCTCCTGGGCATGAGTGCCTCATGGTGACCCTGTCAAGGAGGGCAGTGGATGAAACTGTCACCTCTGGTTTGTCAGCACATAGTGGGTTTCACAGGACATGTTACCAGGCTTCATCATCTACCTGTAGGATGGGGTCTCTGGTGGGGGCTGCCTCTGCCTCCGTCTCACCCCCCTGACACAGCTCGATCGTTTGGGACAAGGCTGTGAGGGAGGGGTCCTGATTTGGGGACCTCTTGAGATGGAGCTGTTTCGCATGGCCTGCTGTTGCTGATGGCCACAAACCAGCTCACCATGGCCATCTGTGAGCTGGTGCCGGTCAGCAGTGCAGGAAAGGGTGTTGGTGGGCAGGAGGCTGCCTGCACTTTGGAGCAGCTTGCTGGGTGTTCTCTGGGACCTTGCAGTCTATTCCTGCCCTCCACTCTTCCCATGCTCTCCATGGCAGCCCTGAACTCCCTGTGAAGATTGTTGGCACGTCTCCCCCAGCCCTTTCAAGCTGAATTTTTCACTCTTACTCGAAGAAGCAAGCAGGCTTTTTGCAGAGCATACCAGCACCGCGCTGCCACGGTTCTTCTGATCTGCTGCTAAGTGAAAATGAAAACAAACTTTTGAATATTCATTGGTTAGCTTGGCTTGTAAAATGTGTGTCTGTTCAAAAATATCCTTGCATCTATTCTGTGTACTGCCTTCTGACATTGTAACATTCTGCAGGCTTCAAAACAGTGCTGCGAGCTAAATAAACCTAATGCTTTTAGCTCTTCCTCAATTAGCACGATCCTTTTCCCATGTTTTCCATGACCTCTGGGGATCTCTGTTGCTTCAGGGTTTCATCCGGCTGAGCACCTCTTCCTAAAAGCCTGGAGGCCTTTCAGAGTCTTGGTTCAGTCGTGGCCGTGCTGGGATGGAGCCTTCTCCATCGTGTCTCTGGGGTCAGGTAGTAGCAGGACTCCCATTTGGCAGTGGTTTCTGGGGTGATTTTTAGTTTCTGTGGCTGCGAAGGGAAGGACCTTGTGTAGCAGCAAAGCTGCTCCTGTCTGCATCTGAGATTGTGCTCAGCCAGTGGAGATGTGTGGAGCCAAGCAGGCCCTGAGCTTTCAGCTGCATATCGAGGGGTCTGTTCTGCACCATGGTGCTGTGGCCCTGACTGCTCCATGGGTGCACCGGTGCTGCCGTGCCTTCCACCCTCATCTCCCAGTGATGCTGTCATCGCCATCTATTACAGGGCCCAGCTCTTCACCCCACGTCTCTACAGACTGAGGTCTTTGAACAAGCTCTCAAGTTACCAGTCATACTGACCACAGCTTGTGTTCCTCCTTCTTCTGTGGGAAGTAACTGTTTCACCTCTTGTGCCAGAGGGCAGGATCTTCCTGCTTTCTTCCCTGCTCACGTTGCCATGTGCACCACAAGTGGTCAGTGTACTTTCTCTAAGGATCTGTAATAGCTTTATGTATTTAAGTTATGTTCAGCAGTTTTCCCCACCGGAATTTTATGCTGAAGCTTCATCTCTCTGCTGGAGGCTGAGATTAGACTGTGTCTGGGAGATGGCAGCAGTTCCTGCAGACAGGCACAAATGATGCCCTTTGGCAAGGACTCATCCCTGGCCCTGACATGGGGCAATGTTGGCCTTTCACTGGCCAGCACAGGGGCAGGCTGCGTTCCCTCATTTGCCCAGCATGTCTCAATACAGAGGTTTCCATGGTGCCTAAACCCCATGTTTTGCTTCGGTTTGGTGCCTCTGAAGGGTCATGTTCGTCAATACCATCAGTTCTGTTTGAGCTTGTTTATAATGCCAGATGAGCTTGAAGATAAGGCAAAGCAGAAGTGGATTTCAGCAAGACGTAGGTCAGGAGTTTGAGTATAAACAAAGTGTAAGCGCAGCCTCCATCCAAGTTTTCAAGAGCTAAACATTGTTGGAGTGTTTAGTGTCTGATGTTACATGGAGTCCTGGCTGCCAGGCAGTCTTGGGGTGCTGCTCTCTTTTACAGAGGCTGTCCAGAGACTGAAACTGCAGAGCACACTGAGCTGAGCCCCTTCACTGCCCGCTGTGTACCGTGGTATCCACAGTTTCTTGTTTCCACCCCTTCATCCCCCAGGCTGCCTTCATTTATACCATGGGCCACAGCGCTTGTGTGCCTCTTCTATCTCTGCTGCTCGCTTGGCTCTGAAGCACGTGTGCGTTACCTGTGAGGTGCAGTCCTGTGCGTGTCCTCATCTGTCCAAACGCGCTGTGTATGATCTCTGACTACTGCTGCTGTGGGTGACAGACCTGGCAGCGATATGTTCGGCCTGGGCATGCCCGTGGGAGTGCAGTGATCCACACTTCCTAGTCCTGGGCTCCTGGCACCTTGTTCCTGCTGGATGCTGGCTTCGTGTGGCACAGGCACAAGAGGTGCTGGCAAATCAGAGGGTTTCCTGTGCTCCTGTAGTGTGGTCTGCTGCTGGGGGTGGGCACTGATGCACGGCTGGTGCGTCTCTGTCCCTTGGCAGCAGCATGCGGGTCGCCCAGGGCAGGACCAGTGCAGTGGCAGCTTTTGAGCACCTGGCTGAAAGCTGGAGAACCTGCCTGGTGGTGACTCACTCACCAGCATCATCCCTTTACCTGGAAAAGGTCAGCCTTAAGCTTACTTCTGGTTGCAGAGGCAGCTTTAGTGTTCCCAGTCACTCCTCTCCTCACCCCCATTTCTTTCAGCAGTAGTGTGCCTGCAGCTGAGTGGCTTTGAAAGCAACACTGCAAACAAGTGCAAGGCTGGGCCACGTGTTCTGCGAGCTTCATGGGCTCTGCATGGTGAACTGGTAGGAGTTTGCCAGGGTTTTGAGATGCACAGGGCTGTGTAAGGAGTGCGTTAAGCTCTTGGCCTAGAGTGTCTCTCCACAGGCCTGGAGCATTGGGAAGAGGTAGAAGGGCATACTGCAGGCCAAGGGCACCTCTACATTTCCCCAGTGTTTCTACTTCAGCTCCATCAGAGCAACACAGCAGCTGACACTAGAGTACCACGAGGCAGGATGCTCGGTCACGCAAGAGCCCACTCTGCAAGCCGTGCTGTCCCCATGGTTGTGCAGAGTAGCTGTGGGATAGGAGCTGACCAGTTGAAACTAGACCTTTTGCACCAATGGAAGAAGGTGCCCTGTCACCCCAGGGCTGCTCTGCCATCAGGAGGCAGGGTCACTTGCAATCCCTGAGGCACTGCAGCTGTTTTGAGCAGTTGGGAAAGTGCCGGTGCTAGGAAGACCTGGGTTTTGTGGCTGATCTATCCTGGGACAGCTCTGTTTGTTTGGTAGCAGATTTGTGGGGTGAAACAGACTGGTGGACCCCTAGCCTAGGGTGTTTCAATCTAGTTAAATATTGGTGCTACATGTCTTTATTCTCAGTCAGTTAAAGATTGGTGCTGGATGTCTTCCTGTGCAGGCAGCACAGTCAGCTCCACCAGGAAACGTGTGCTCTGCTGCAGCAGTGTCACTGCCGCAGAGAGGAGCAAGTGCTGCGCCTTGCTGCTGGCGTTGGAAGCAGCAGCTCTACCAAACACATAGCCAGTCTCCGCTCTTGGTCTCCTTCTGGCAGGGGCTGGCAAGAGCAGTGCACCAAAATTTGGGATGTGTGGGCTTGGAGAAGAGTTCTTTTCCTTCTAAGTATTGTGGCTTGGGAGGGCAAGTGTTCCCCTGAGGAGCAGGAAGGTTGTGGGAAAAGCTAACACAGTGCTGAAAGGGCTGAGCCTGTCTTGGGGGGGGACAGGGGTCCTTGCCACCCTTCATCTGGGTACCTGCGCCCCAGTCCCTGCTGCTGTCTGCCCCACAGAGACCAGTTAATGCCCCCAGGCCTCACTGAGTACTGGGCTGGGTTCTGCCATCCCCAGTGCCCTCTCAGGAGCACCTCTGTTCCCATCTGTGTGTGCCCAGGCAGTGGTGGTCTCACAATGCAGGGGGTGGTTTTCTGTAGAGGGAGACATGTGGGGCACATGGGCAGTGGGTGACATGTGCCTCTGTTTCAGGGCATCGTGGGGAACCTGTCCAGTGGCAAGTCAGCCCTCGTGCACCGCTACCTGACCGGCACCTACGTGCAGGAGGAGTCTCCAGAGGGTAGGTCTGGTTCTCAGGGTGCCTGGGGAGTGGTCTGGGTCCTCTGCTTTAAAGGTGACCCCAAGTCTCTCCACCTTGTTTGCCACCACCGCAGGGCTCGGCAGCCTTGCCTGACCTTCATTAGGGGTTTCCCCTGCTTGCCCCCACCTCTCACTTGACTGCTGCTTTGCTCTCTTCCCAAGGTGGACGATTTAAGAAGGAGATCGTAGTGGATGGTCAGAGTTACTTGCTGCTGATTCGAGATGAAGGGGGCCCCCCTGAACTCCAGGTAGGAGACCTGTACCTCCTGCAGCCCTTTCCCACCCTGTCCTGGGGAGGGACCTACCCAGCTGCCTCTTGGCACCTGTTTGAGAGAGAACATGAAGACAGTGAGGCCTGAGGAGGGGCTACCCCTGTAATGACTGCTCACCCTAGGGCCACCCTGTGATGCCACAGGGCCTAGGGCATGTGCTGGGGCTCCAGGACGCTTGTCTGGGCTGTAACAGCTGGTGTGTCTCCCTCAGTTTGCTGCCTGGGTCGATGCTGTGGTGTTTGTCTTCAGCCTGGAGGATGAGATCAGCTTCCAGACGGTCTACAACTACTACCTGCGGCTCTGCAGCTACCGGAACACAGCGGAGGTGCCGATGGTGCTGGTGGGGACGCAGGGTGAGAGTGGGGCCCTTGGGCTCTCTTCCTCCATCCATCCTCCCCACCCTGTTCAGGAGCACTGGTGATGTGTCCTTATGGGCAGGAGAGCACAGGGCACTAGCCCTGCAAGTGACCAGGGGATCCCAGTCTCTATAGTCATATGTGGGACTGGCTGATGCTGTGGTCCATAGCCTAGGGTCCTGGAGGAGCTGAGCAGTTCCTTCTCAGACCATCTCACTTCCCTGCAGAGAGCTGCATTCTTCACAGAGCCACTTTCCTCTTTGAATGAAAGGGCCTGGCTGTGAGGGTTTTCTGCTGGTGCATTGCCCTTCATCCTCTGGGGTGAACTGCAGCAGGCAAGCTTTTAGGGGGCAGGCAACTTGCTTTCAGCACCCCAAGAGGAGGCCTGAGCTGTGGAGCGGTGTCTCCCCTGAGGTCACATGTGGGTATGGGGAAGAGCAGCACCAACCCAGAGCTTCTCTGTGACTCCTCTTCCTGCAGAGCTGGGCCTGGAGCGAGCAGGGGCAGGGGCAGACACCATAAGGGAACTGTCATGAAACCACAGCTGAGGCTACCAGGGGGTGCCGGCAGCAGAGGAAGCAGGAGACACAAGACCTGAAGACCCTCTGGGCACCCCAGGCATGCCTGGACATGATGCTGCCAATGGAGAGGGGCTGCTGGGAGAGAGGGCAGCCCTTGAGTGGGATTCCTGCCTGGCACAGCATGCCTTGAAGGCAGCCTCACGTCCAAAAGCCTTGCTGTGGGTGCCCAGGAGGCAGGGAGGGGCAGCAAGGGCATTGCTTCAGATTGCTTCTTCTGAAATGAGCATCCTTCCTGCCTGTGGGTGGTAAAGTGCAGGAAGGAGGGAGCCTGGGGCTGCAGACAGCAGAGAGAGGGAGCATGGATGGAGAATGCGAGTAAAAGATGTCTTGTCAGGGCCCAGTTCCTGAGCAGTGTGACCCCTTCCTGGGAAAGGAGAAACTGAGCCTGGAAACAGAGGCGGTGACAGTGAGAGGGGAGTCACAGGGGTGCCTGCTTTGGGCCCCAGAGGAAGAGTAGAACAAAGTTGTTAAAATATGGGGTTTTACAGATTGTGGAGTTAGTTTCAGGACTGCATGGTCTTCATTCAGGACTGGGCTGGGGTTGCTGGCATGTACCGTGGAGGCTCAGAAGAGGGGAAGTGTGGCAGAGGGGTTGGTGGTCATTGTTGTCCCCCAGACTTAGAGGCAGCTGAGGTCACAGTCTTGGTACTGTCATGCTGAGCAACCCGCTGGAGAGTTTGAGGAGGACTTCTTTACAGTGAGAGTCCCAGTACTCCTTTGGCTCCTTCTGAGAAAGTTCATTTACAGCCCCTGCTTGTCCCTGGCGTGTCTTCAAGGAATTGCGTTCCTCTTGGGAAGATAGTTTTTCCAAAGCATGCAAGCACTTAGCAGCCATCTGGGATACAAATTAAGCCTATTTTTAAGTGTTGTCCACCAAGGCCTCATCTGTGAGTTCAGCCTGGCAGACCCGTCTCTCCCAGTTAACTGAGGATGTTTTGGCCCTCTTGACTCTTCAATATGTAGGGCAAGTCCATGAGACCTAAAACAACTGAAACTGGCAAAGCCGATTCACTCTGCAGCTGAGGCTGCCTTGCCTTGGCAGCCACACCTCCCCCTGGTTTTGCCCTGTGTCTTCAGTGACACTGGTGGCTGCATGATTAGGAGAGTTGAACAGGGTTCATTTAAACACTGGCTCATTAAAAAAGGTTCATTCAACAGTTCAATTTTTCTGCAGACATGGGACTTTGTTACCTAAGGCATTAATCAGAGAGTGGGTATCTCTGTGTGTGAAGGGAGGGAGGGACACCAGGAGTGTGTCCTGAGCCTGTGGAGGGATGAGAAACTGGTGCTTGCTCTTTAACTTCCTCTCCCTTTGTTTTCCAGATGCCATCAGCGCCACAAACCCCCGCGTCATTGACGATTCTCGGGCACGGAAGCTTTCCAATGATTTGAAGCGTTGCACGTACTATGAGACCTGTGCTACCTACGGGCTGAATGTGGAGAGAGTCTTCCAGGATGGTAACTGCAGCCTGGAGGGTGTCCAGGCGAGACAGGGCAGCAGTGCTGTCCTACAGAGGGGGCTTTACACCACCTAGATCACCAGCTCTCGGTTAGAACAGCCATGAGACCAAGGGCGTTCGGCACACATTTGTGTGCGGTGTTGTTGCTTTACAGCGCAGACCTGCTCCAAGGAGTGGGATATACTCTGTATGTGGAAGGATTCCTCTGTATGTAGCACGTAGGTGAACCGCACGTGGATGTGCATGGGGACCACAGCGCAGAGCCCAGCAGTACCTTTCTTTCAGGGGCTGCCCCCTGGGTAACCACTTGGTCCGGAGAGCAGGGAGGCTGCAGAGGATGGTTGCACCTGCCCGGTGGGCCTGTGCAGCACAGCTGTCTGTATGAGCCTGCAGAGGAATTGTTAGGCTTCAGAAAGGGGATTGGTTGCCTTTTGAGGAGGAGAGGAGGAAGCACAGCAGAATTGTTGGGTCTTAGAGGTAGGGGAGCAGCAACTGAATGGCCAGATGGGGCAGCTGTTCTCATGGGAGCAGTGTGTGGGAGAGCATTTCTGCTTAGACTTGGAGGGCAGTCTGCATAACAGTGGTGCTGTAGGTTGGAAAGAGAACCTACACCATATCCTAGGAGTTTGCAGTGGCTTACATAAGCCAGGGCCCTGCCCTATAATGGGACTGCATATTTCTCTGTCACCTTTCTCTGCCTTGTCTTAGGGAGTGCAGCAGGGAAGCTGTTCATTGCATGAAGGAGAGTGTGTGCAGAGCTTAGTGGCTGGGCAGGACAGAGTTGGTTTTGGAAAGGAAGAGAGCTGTGCTGGTAGTGGTTTTAAGTGGAACAGGCACATGGAAGAAGGTTTGGAAATCACAGTTCAGTAGGACTGCCTGAGGGCAAAAGTCAAGCTTTGTTCATTGCAGCACAGCAAGATAGGCTGAGGGCAAGACACAGGACTGAGCCTGCTGTTGGCTTTAAGTGCTGCCTCCTTCCTGTGAGCTGGAGCTGGTGATCCTCCTTCCCCTGTGTAAGTCTGTGACCTGCCAGTAATCGCCTGTAGCGGGGTGAGGATCATAGTTGCAGCACAGCTTCTCTTACGCAGAAGCATGCAGAGATGTTCTCTTCTCCTGCTCCTTGTCCACCTCTGAGACTGTCGGAGAAGTCAGCCCAGAAAATGACCTTTCAAGCTGTTCCACCTTTCAGGCCAGGAACCCTTCAGTGTCCAGCAGCCTCTGTGTTGGTTTGGTATTCCTGGGGAAACTAGGGCGACTTTGTTGGGCAGGTTGCTTCTGAGTCACCTCTTCTTCCTCCTCTTCATGAGTAGTGGAGAATTTGTGGCAAGGAACAGCTGGGAATAGTAAAAACTGCGTCAGACCTGGAAGGGGAGGATCTGCTAAACTAGCTCAGAGATTTGCAGAACAGTCTGAAGAGAGGAGCAGCAGGTGGGCTGTGTGCAGAGCTGTCCCTGGCTTCTGGAAAGCATTTGGCACTGTGTGCCACCAAATTTATTCAGCTTATTCCTTCATATTGGTTCTGTATGTCCCTTCTCTGACGGACAGTACAGTGAAGAACAGCAGCTGGTGGGTTTGGGAAGGAGCTGGGGAAGGCACTGCAGCTGCTGTTTGCTAGGCTGCTTTTAATGTCAAGACAGAATGGATTGGGCTCTGGGGTTGTTTTTTCTCTTTGTTGACCCTGGGAGCAGAGATAATACAACTTGAAGTAGTGCAATATGTGAGATGGAGGCTCTCATGTGAGACTGGGGTGCAGCTTGTAGTGCCAGCGCTGCTTAGCAAGCTTGTTGGGAGAGCTTGAGCTGCTGCTTGGAGGCTCAGGAGTGAGCAAAGTGCTGTGCTTCATCTTTTGTCTGGGCTTAGTCACAGGCTGTATGTGTGGTCAGGAAGGAGGCAAGGGAGCAGGTTTGTCCATGTGAGGAGCAGTGAGGTTGAGGAAGTCCAGAAGACCACAGAGAGTGGGTTGGTTCTTTTGAAGACACTCAAACAAAATTGAAAGAACATTCAAGCAAAACTGATGTCAGTCTGGGCAAATGCTGATGCTGTATGGAACATAGAGCATGGGCTGCCCTGCTGGGAGGGCTGGCTCTGACCCTGGGCTTGTAAGCAGGGGAGTACTGAGTGCAAGTCCACATGGATTCTTGCCTTCATACAGGGCAGCAAGAGGAGCATTAAGGAATGTTCTTGAACTCGGGTCTGAGCACTTGAAAAGGACACAGAGAAACTGAGAAGATTAAAAAAATAGCTATAAAAACTAATAAAGGCTGGAGAAAATACCTGGTAATGATTCACTAAGAGAGCTTATCCATTCAGTAAATCAAAAAGAAGATTGAGAGGTGACTTGATTACAGTGTAAGAATAACTACATACCTGCATGGAGAGAAAATCTCAGATACTGAGACTCTGCAGGCTCACAGAGAGTTCATGCTAGAAGCCAAAGCCAGTTGAATTTGAATGTTAAAGAATCTTTACTTTTTCTCTTAGTAGCCCTGCTTTCATTAGCTGTTGGAAAACATGCGTAGGGAAGTGCTGTATGTTGTATCTCCTATTTTCTCCAAATCCAGACCATGTCCCTTACTGGAGGAGACTCTCACCCAGATGAGTGATGCAGTATAGGTTGGGTGAAGTTCAATGCCTGGCAGCATACAGAGGTCAGCCTTTGTTTCAGCTGGAGAGATCCTTCAGGCCTTCGAGTCTGTGCATGCAGGAGATGTCTGTGTTACTGCAGTTCCTTGTGCCATGCCCTGTTTCCTGTAGTGGGCTGCCTCTGTGTGTCATGATGGTACCCGTGCCCTGGCTGAACGTGTTGCCTGGAACAATGGGGAAAGCAGTGTGATAACTGGGAGCAGAGGGACTCCGCATCTCATAAGAGATCTGGAGTAAATCCCAGGTGCTCAGTGCTCTCATCTGCCTGCTCAACTGCAGGACTGCACAGAGGCTCCTGAGCGAAGCTGGGACAGGGGAGGAACTGGGCAGGAGGAGCTGAGGAGAGCTGAGCCTGGCAGGATGGCCTCAGACATCACCAGCATCTGAGAACTGTTCAAGGACTTCCAGGATCCAGTTTTGGATGAGGCTGAATTGATAGGATGAGGCATTTTCGGAATGTGTAAGAGGGTTTTCCTAGTGAGCACTGGTGGGTCTTGGTGCATGTTTTGGTATCTGGAGTACTGGCAGTCATGGGTTGTGTGAGGAGCTTGCACTGTGTGCGATCCAGTTACCAGACAGACCTCATCTTTATATGGTTTCTCCAGCACAAGTTACTCAGCCAGATCATGGGAGACCTGCCCCACGTAGGCAGGGGAAGATGTTGACTTTCCACAGCAGAAACAGGAAGACTTCTCAAAGTGGTGGTCTTTGCTTTCATTGCAAAGGTTTGCTTGCTTGTCCATGCTGTACAGAGCATATGCTGCACTTCTGTTGCTACCCAACACTCCCAAGTCCTTCTCCTCACTGCTGTTCTCAATCCAGTCTCTCCCAGCCTGTATATGTGCTTGGGGTTGCCCTTACCCAGGTGTAGGACCTTGCACTTGGCCTTGTTGAACTTTATAATGTTGGCACTGTCCCACTTCTCCAGCCTGTCCAGGTCCTTGTGGATGACATTCCTTCCCTCCAGCTTGTCAACCACACCACACAGAGATAGTGAAAAGCAAGTGATCCCAGAGGCTGGCTTAAGGGATGACAGAAATTGTCCTTGAAAAAGTCTGGCTGATATTCAGGATGTAGAAGAACCTCCGCCTAGCAAGCAGAAATGGGAAGGCTGCCTCAAGATACCTCAGTTAAGGGCTGGTGAGATGTTATCACCACCAGTGTGGCCTTGCTGGCCTTGTGATTAGTACCATTGCTAATGGTACAGGATGAGCGACACAGCAGAGCCTCTGCCAGGCTCTTTGCCTGGGACAGCAGTTGCTGAGGAGTTTGTCTGAATCTTTTCTGGCCCCTGAGGTACCTGAGCTTGCAGCGGGCCTGCCAGTATGTGAAGGAGAGATGGTTCACACAGTGAACACTGCATGAAGCTGGCCAGGGGGAGGAGAGCAGGAAAAACCAGCAAGTTAATTCAGTCTGTTTGGTGGGTCTAGGAGGAGTTCCTGCTATTTGTGGGATTGATGTTTAGCTTGGGAGTCTGGAGAGGCTCCCAGCTTTATCACATGAGCAGTGGACAACAGGCCTTCACCTGTTTCTGTAAGGGACATGGCACTGCAGCTGTATTGGGATTTGCAGTTGCTGTTAGCATTTGAGTTTGGTCGCACCATGTATATGGTGCAACATCTATCTGGAAAGGGAATCTGGCAGCTTCCTTATTGCAAGAGTGCATGATATGAGGCGTGCTGGGTTGGACATGTGATGTTCCCAGTGCCTTCAGTTGTGTTTGTGTGCAAGAGAAAATGAGAATGGCCATGTCTTCTCCTGAATTCCCCAACAGCTTGTTTGCTGTCATGCTCTTTGACAATGCTCAAGATGTTTTATTTCCAGAAAAGGTAGGAGATTGGGATGGCTGAAATGCAATTTGAGGCTGTTGGCATCAGGCAGTGAGGTCACAGCAACTGGGAGAGTTGTTCTTCACATTAGTTATTTCGAATGTGTACAGACTGTGAGGGTCACAAGGGACCAGGCTAACGGAGGTGGCATTGCCCGGGCTATTCAGTTCCATAACTGGCTCCTGTAGCTGCTGTGAGGGGGTGGCCAAGGAGTGACTCTGGCTGCCCAGGGGTCTGGGTGGCTCCTTGGTGTCCACATGAAGTCACTGCTCTGTGTGAGACCCAAGAGAGCCAATGGCCTTTGAGGACTCAGCATAGGCAGCCTGCCCTGCTGCCTGCTGGAACAGGCACAGGCAGACACTACCCCTTGCAGCTGGGTTGTGTGACGGTGTCAGGCAATGGGGATTGCCAAGTTGAGTGTTCTGCAGAAATCCTCCCTGTCAACACAGGGTGGTGCAGTTTGAGCCCCAGATGTTGAGCTCAGTCAGAGGAAGGGTTGGGGTCTCACAGACACCCCCCAGAAATCTGTGGGTGGAGAAAGTTGCTTTCCATACTCTGACTCTGTCCTTTCTCCCTTCTTCCAGTGGCTCAGAAGGTGGTGGCTCTACGGAAGAAACAGCAGCTTTCCATTGGCCCCTGCAAGTCCCTGCCCAATTCACCCAGCCATTCGTCTGTCTCTGCAGCCTCCATTCCTTCTGTTCACATCAACCAGGTGGGAAATGGGAATGGGAAAAGCCAGGGAGCCCACGTGCTTCTCCATCCCCTCCTCAGTTCACTTAAAACACAGCACATTTAGCTTAGCCTTAGGCTCGCACTACAGCCCTAGGGTAGCTTTTGGGAAGAACAGAGTGGCTGTCACCCTGGCCCATCAGCCCATAGCCCACAGTGGCTTGATTCTTGCCCTGAAGTCAAGCTTTGTGTCTAAACTATTGGGTCTGGCTCATGGTCTCCAACAGTTGTGGGGTGCTTGTACAACCACCCCCAGTGGAGTGGTAAGTGGTCTGCAAGGAAGTTCCTGGGCAGAGCAGGTCTCTGAAAGGGGCCTCAGTCTGGCTGCTGTAGCCAGGCAGGCAAGCCTGAGTGGACACAGCTGCCCACAGTCCTGCTCTCCCTGGCAGTTTGGAAGCTGATGGTCTTCCATGCATAGACAGGTGGGCTTTATAAGGGGTGTGTTCGTGCAGGCAAATTCAGTGATGAATTGAAGGATTCACGCAGAGGTTCACCTCTTCTGTCAGAGGAAGGGCTTTGTGCTGTGCTTCTGGAACAGCATTAGCTTGGTAAGGGCTGCCAATGTCTCCATGCTGGGAGGATGGTGAAGCAGGAGGTGTTTGTTCTGTGACTCTGGTGGAGCACAATTGATGCAGGAGGGGCAGGTCAGAAACCAAAGCCAGATGCCATGGTGAGTAGGTGGTGAAGAAGATCCTTTGGGCAGCCGCCTCACTGCCTTAGGGCTATGCTGCAGTTTCCAGCACCCGCATAAATGCTGAGCTGTCTCTCTGATGAGGAGGGTGAGATACTGAGCTCTGCTGCTCCTCCGGGGCAGTCAAGCCAACAGATTCCAACTCTGAAGCAGCTGGCATATGAAATCACAGGAACTGTAGCAAGGACTCAAGAAGTCTGTCATGGTGCTGTCAGACTGAGTAACAGCAAGCGTAGCAGCTGGGTGTATGGAAGATGGGATATGGCATGGCTAGAGCAGCTGGGAGCTCCTCGGCTGCCTCAGCAGTGAACAGTGCTTGCAGTGATTTTTGAGGAAAGGAGCAGCTAAGGATCATGTACAACTGAAGAAAAGGCAGACTGATGCTTTTCTCATAGGGGTTTTAACTTTGAACCTTAGGGTATATCTGAGCCCCTCACCGCTGGGAGGACTTCTGGTACACCAACAAGGAGAGGCTATTCCAGTAGGAACTTGAGTAGTGTCTGCAGCCCCTGGTTGGACCCTTCCATCAGAATCGTTACATACCTATGTGAAGTTATACCTGACTGTATAGGCTTCTGAAGCTGTACAGCAAGTAGGTATGCACAGATTTTTGCAGATACCAGCACCTGGTGCCCCAGATCACCCAGACACCAGCGAGTTCAGATGAAGCCTCTGTGTGCAAGTGAATGGGCTGATCCCTGCTGACAGGCAGAGCTACTTGGTGAAGCCACATGGCTTTCTGATCAGAGCTTGCTTGTGTCCAGTGAGCTTGGGGTACAAGCAGAGTGAGCTCAGCTGTGTGCAGAACATAGACAGCCATACTGTGCCCCACAGTGTGTCTGGATGTAGGTGCTTTCTGAGGGACTCAGTAGGAGACATCCAAGGTGAAGACAAAATCCAGGGGAAACGTGGATTTGAGTGTATCTGGTAACTTGAGGATTTTTGTTAGCAGACAAACTACAAACAGTCAGAGACTGGTTGGGAAGGAGAGGCAGCCTGTACGGAAAGGGGAGTGGGGTGAAAATGGCCACGGGCAGTGTTCCTCAAGGAGGAGATGAACACTCGTTTGATATTTTCTTCAGTGTCCCAAGTATGAGAAAAGGTTCCTAACAAATATGTACTAATAGTGCTTGCTGTGCCAGGCAACGTCTGTAGTGAAGCTAAGAGTGTTCCCTCTGTGTGGGGTGTGGGGATACCAAACTTCCCAGTCGGATTCCAGCTGCTCATGTAAGTACACAGTGAAACTGGTGGCAGAGCAGCAAAAGGCAAGTGGGAGAGAAAAGAGGCCTTAACGCAAGAGGAAGTTAAGCACTTGACTTGTTTAGTTAGCTCAGGAAAGCGAAGGCTGAAATGGACCAAACCTGACCTTTAAAGTACACATCTGTAAAAGGAAAGAACTTTTTAAGAGCAGAAGGTGCTAGAAGAAAAGGGGTGGGTTTAAGACTGGCCATGGGGAAGTAAAGTTTGGGCATCAGAAGGCATTTCTAACTGCCTGTCATGAGTTGGTTAGAGGCTTTTGCTCAGAAACCTCCCTATTGTCCTTTCCTTCCTGCAGAGCATCTTTCAGCCTGGTTTGTAGACAACATCTGTGTAGAGGTGAATGCTGGCTCCTTGGCTCTGAGACAGGGCCCTTAGCTTTCGGTACCTTGCTGTGCTCCTGGGGCTGTGCTGGAGGGACGTAGGTAGTTCTGGTGGGAAAGAAGGGCTGTTAAAGGGAGGTAATGCAGCATGCAGCTAGCAGGAAATTGCAGTTAACTGTAAGGCCTTTCTAAGCAAGAAATACTTATTGATTGCCTGGGTTGTAGCAGTGCCAGCAGTATCCTTCAGGAGCTTCCTCCCTCCCTGCACATGCTCTGTGCCTCTCTAACGCTGTGTCCCTCCTGCACAGCAAACCGGGATGCCACAGTGAGGGTCAAAGTTAATTTCTGTTCCCTGGGTCTTCTGTGGCTCAACTACAAACCCTGTCGTTTCCCAGTAACTGCTGCAGTAATCTTTGCTGTGGTTTACGCATCTCTCTTCCATTACAAAAGCGCTTCTGAAAATAGAGTATGAAGTAATGGAACTGGTGAGTGAGTGTAAAATGCTGAGAAATATTTCCCCCTTCTTGCTTGGGTTAAGGAATGAGGTTCTTGAGTTACTTCCCTCTGTCCTCAGAGAAAATCCAGTTGGCTTGGGGAACACACATTCACTGATTGCTGGTGTTTCTTACATGGACTGGGCAGAGCAGCCCACGCGCCCTGGTGCATATGGGCTTGCTGCCCATATAGAAGGGAACATGTCCAATAGTGAGGCAGTGACCCAGTGATTAGGGATGCAAAAGAGCCTGGAGTTGCTGCTCAGGAATGCACTGTGCTAGTGGGGACACCCCAGAGGGTATGGTCTCCAGCACTGGCTGGTGCAGCTGTCCCTAACACAGGGGAGTGATGGGTGCAGGCAGCTCCGGAGTTCTCCTGGGCACTGCTCTTCAGGTCTGGGCTGCAGAAGTGCCGGAGCCTCTTGTGGGGATGGGTGATGGTGGTCCTCTGCTCCTGGCACTGAGATACCCAGTGGGGAAGCTCTGGGAAGAGATGGACAGGCTCCCGTGTCAGGAGGTAAGAATGAGAGGGTGGCAAGGTCTTTGCAGAGTAGTGCTGTGTTCTGTGTTTTTCTGCCTGAGGGTACGGGGCTCTTGCTGAGGTTTCTTACTTGTCTTCACAAGTAAGGGAGCTGGAACCAGCATGGAAAAGGATCTCAAGGAAGGGTTTAACATGGAGATGAAATGGAAAGAAGCCAAAGAAAGAATAGGATTAGGAGCTTTTGTTTGCCTTGGACTGCAGCTAGGTGTTGGTGTTGTGTACAAGATACACACACTGAGACAGAAAGATCTCTTTCTTCTCAGTGCCGCTAGTAGGAACAGCGGGACTGGCATTTGCATCATGAATACTTGGCTAGGAGGAGCTGTGCACTGCTCTCTGTGCAGGGCCTGGCTGTGGGTGTTGAGAGGTGCTGCCTGCAGCTGCTGGCCATGCATGGTGGCAGTGTGCTCTGTCCCTTCCAAGCAGTTATGACATCTTGGGCAGCGTTTTGTTCCCCTTAGCAGGCTGCTTTTCTGCTGTTAGCAACAGCTTTTCCTCACCCCCTAGATCATCCCTCTTCCCTTCTGCTGGTAGCTATGGTTGAGGTCTGCTTCCCTTCATAGCTTTGTGCCTGGAGAAATGGTGGTGCTGTCTAAGATGAGTAGGATGTTCTGCTTGCTGCCTGGTCCCCTGGCCCATGCAGCAGGGCCAGCTCTGTGTCCTGGAACTTGCAGTGAAGAAGTACTTGTGTTCTGGAAATGGGAACAAGGAGTCCCTGCAAAGGGTTGCTTACAGCAGGCGGGAGCTGGGAACCAACCTTGCTTCTTGTCCTAGCTCTGGGGACATCTTTCCTGGAAGGAGTTTGATGCTACTACTTGAGTTGAAATAACTTTCTTGGAAATGGCCATTCCTGACAGTCTGGCCAGTCCATTGCAATTACTGGAAGAGGAGAGACCCCAGAGGACCCTGGTGATGCTGTCCCCATCTATCCTGAGGACTTTCTTCTCCTGGTGTGAGGTTGTGGCTGGTTTCCAAACCATTGTGTCAGGTTCCCAGTCTGATAGGGGTCTGGAATCGTGATGTTGTGCGAGGTGTTTTGATGTCCTTGCACAGTGGATGGTCCTCCTTATTAACAGGTCTTGAACAAGCCAAAGGCCTTGATTTCATTTCTGCCTTTGGGAGTTTTGGGGTTATTCTGCAGCTTGCTGCCTCAAAGGAAGAAGGTGCTTTCTTCCATTGAAGTGGAGGGGAAGGGAACTGTAATAGCAGGTCAGCTGTGGTCAGGGTTTTCTGCCAGCGCTCACCACGTGTACCAGATGAGCTCATCAGGTGTGTGACCCTGGGTACCACATTCAGCATCTCCCTGGTCCTCTGGCATGGCAGGAGCCAGGGCCAGGCCTGGTAGTCCTGCATGCTCCCTGGGGACACCAGTGGGCCTTTCCAGCAGCATGTGGTGTATGGATCTGCACCCTTTGGAACAGACACCACAGATCCCCCAGGACCCTGTAGCCACAGAGGGAAAGCTCTTGCTTGCCTGCTGGTTCAGGCTCTCTTCTCCTGCATCCTGCCATCACCCATCACTGGATGAACAGGTTAGATGGGTTTGGAATCCCCCCTTGGCTTGGCCTTGACTTCCACCCTGCTCTCTTCTGGCAGCTGCCTGTCTCATGCCCACAGGGTGTGGGTGGGAGTTTCTCAGGCAGTGGATGCTTGCAGTACTTGCAGAGTTATTCCACCTGATTTACTGTTGCTACCCCTTTCTCCATCTTTCTTCAGGCACTCTGAGATGCCTTTTAGGAGTACCCCAGGCTGTGGGATGAGTCACTGCTGCCTGTTTGCTGTGGGGTGGAAGTTTGTCTTTCTGCCAGGGAACTCATTCCCAGCAGCTGGCAGAAGGTAACAACAGGCATCCCCACCAAGCCTTGCAGGCTGGTGGAGCGAGCTGTGTAGCCAGTGGGCACTGGGGAGGTGCTGCCTGGGCACAGCTGCCCTCCCGGCACGGGTGGCTTGGTGTCATGGCTTCATGATGGCCTCAGGCTGCGGTCCTGCACGGGCTCTTTGTGCCACCGGGAAGTGCGTTTAGGGAGACCTCAGTAGGAGAGCAGATGAAAGAGGTGGAAAATTAAAGTTTGCAAGTAAAATGAAACACAAACTGCAGCTCACCTGTGCTGGGTAATGAGTGCTTCCCGGCCTGCTGCAGCATGTTTCAGCAGGGTTCAGTTAGCGTGTGTGTCTTGGCAGCTGAAGCAATGGACATTCGTATTTCCTTGTGGAAGCCCATGTCCTGATGCGTGCTCAGCTCATGATCCCCCCATTTCATGGTCTGTACAGTCCTGGCGTCTTCCTTGTCCCTGTGCAGGTGCTGAGTCAGTGGCTGCTGTTCTGTTCTGTCTGCTGCCTTCTGTTCAGAGCCCTTCCCAAATGTAACTCCTTGTCCTGCCTTACGCCTTTATATGCCAAGAGTTACTACATGTTAACTTCAGCTGAGCTCTTCCCTCCTCAGGCACCCTTTGGCACTTCTTTGAAGTTCTCAATACTTACCCATTACATGCTAATGGGAAGGATTTGTCCCGCATGTGTTTTACTAAGTTTTCAGTTTCTGCTGTGTTCTTAGATTCCAGTAGCGACTGCAGGTGGCTGTTCAGGTGGATCGGCAAAGTAGCTTCCAGGAGCAAAAGTAAGGTCTTTGCCCAGACATGCCATCTTGTCAGGGTTCTCCCTCATCCCTGTGGTTTGTTCTGGATCCCTACTGAGGTCTGGGAGCAGCCTGCTTGAGCTGAAAGGTGTGGTGGTTCAGGGTATGCTGCTGCCAGCCTTGGGGCCACTTTCTCCTCTGCCCTGAACTCACGGGATGGTACCAGCCCTCACGCTTGCCTTTGGTGCGAGACATCCTTCACCCCAGTACCTGTCCTGAGGTGTGGGTGTCTGTGGGACACCAACAGGCTCAAATGCTTGTGTCGTTTGTTGTTTGAGACAGGCAGTAACCTTGACTTGTCTCCAACACTAGGCAAATTTACAGGCTAAAGAAAACTACTCTGGCCAGGCAAAAATTACGAACAAGACTACAGGGAGTATGTAAAACATAAACCACAATTTAGCAAGATTTTTTCCTGGGAGGTTTAGCATCCGTCACCTAACTTCCATGGGGCTTGTCCCAGCTGCTACGGCAGGAGCCTGAACTCTACAGCTTCTTTGGAACTGAATCCTTCCCACAGTTGTAGCTTTGTAGCTGTGCTGACCAGGATACTGGCATATGCAGAGCATAGCCAGGAGACTGCCTTAGAGTGGTTTCTGGACTCCTGGCAGCCTTGCCTGGCTCATCTTCCTGGGTAGCAGGTTCTCTGTACCATCTCTGTGGCATTGGCCACCTCTTCCCTCATGCTTTGAATCTTTTTCTGACATGGTTCACCCATTACGCATCAATTAAATACTGACTGTACATACATTGTTATGTCTGATCCTAAACTTGAGCTGTCTCAGCAATTTCTCTTTGACTCTGTAGCCCTAGCTTTCTGCATGTGGTCCTTCATCGCAGTGTTTGCAGAACACCTCTTCACTCCGTGTTGAATCTATGGTTTGCAGGAGCTCTCTCTGTTAAAAGTTCAGAAGTCACTGGCAGGGTGGCACATTGCTTTGCTTCTCCATGTCCCTGGTGGTCCCTTCTTCCCTGGGACATGGCAGCAGAGATCTTTTGTTCAGCATAGGGTTCATCAACTGGACAGTACGTAGAAGAAGCCTGGTCACGTTTCCAGATAGAGTGCCCTGCTTTTACATGTGGAAAAGTAGAAGCAGACCAGGTTCCCATTCATTCTACATTGAGCGCACCAGAAGCTTTCCTGTCTCTGGGTAGTCTTGGGGCAGTCTGAGTCCTGTGCTGGCAGGGAGGCTTTCTGAAAGCCACAGAGGCAGCAATGTGGCCTCTAGCTCCTTGGTTTGAGCCACGTGTGCTGCTGGGCTGGTGGCCCATCGGAGCTCAATGCAATGAGTCCCTTCTGGTACGAGGCTCCCTTTCCTGTTGAGCGGGCAGTAGAGCTCGGCAGACTGCAGAGGATTTGCTGCTTGGTGCTGCCCTGTCTCCAGCTTGGTGTTAAGGTATTCCAGACCCACCTGGACATGGAGGTCTTCAAAGGCATTTTGTCAGGGTAGCGTGCCTTCCCACGGGCTTCATCCCTGCTGTGGAAGGGTGTTTTGCTCTGGCTTCAGGAAGCATGGTGCTGCAGGCAGGCTGTTGTGGAGCTGCTCCAGAGCCTGCGATAGCCCTGGCAAGTAGGGGCACTGTAGCTTCCCAAATGGGGCTCAGAAGGAGGTCCATCTCTGAGTCCTTCCAGAGCAGGAGCTCCGTATGGCACACCTAGCTGCCCTCAGTCACAAGTCCCCTGCTCTGCCTTAGAAAGGAAGAAGTTGGCTGCTTCTTGGATGGCTCTTTCCTCTCTTTAAGTTCTCATTTGCTGCTCTTCACTGTTGATTTCAGAACTTTATTGTTTTATCAGTGACAAAACTGGAGCAGAAAGAAGGGAAACTGCTTTCCCAAGATCGCCTGGTGGGCAGGAGCAGTGCATGGCATGGGATGTCTCCCCTATTCCAGTCCTGTGCTGCACTTCCTTGCCCTGGTACACCAGGCTGTGTAGGTGGAAGGTGTTTCTGCAGTCACACCCCCAGGCATCTGCTTGTCTCTGACTGTCCCATTCTGCCCTAGGCTACCAATGGTGGAGGAGCCTTCAGTGACTACTCCTCCTCTGTGCCCTCCACACCTAGCATCAGCCAGCGGGAGCTGCGGATTGAGACCGTTGCTGCCTCCAACACACCCACCCCCATCCGCAAGCAATCCAAGCGGCGCTCCAACATATTCACGGTAAGCGCGCTGGGGCCGCAGGAGCTTTGGGATGAGTTTTCTGAGGGTCAGGCAAAGAGAGGAGAGGAAGGGAGCAGATCCACAGCAGTCTTGCCCCGCAGGCGTCCGTGCACTAGTCTCTAGGTGAACCTTACCGTGCTGGCCAGGGAGGGATGGGTGGCAGGAAGTGCAGGGTGGGTGCATGGGGAGTTCTCCCCACAGGAGAGGGAGTCCTATGAGTGTGTAGGACCCGTGGTGTTGAGAGCTGCTTCTGGTGAGTGTGTGTGTGTGTGCATGGGGGAGCACCTGAGAGCAAGCTGCTCCTTGCACACGTAGGAGTGTGTGTGTTTACAGTGAGCAGAGCTCCCTGATCTTTGCTGGGGAGAGCTGCACTTTGTGCGTGCACAGCACCAGTGACCTCTGCTGTTCCTCTCCTTGGGGCCGTGGCCCTGAGTGTGGCACAAAGCCCCTGGCTCCTGAGCCTCCTGTTTGGTGCCGGATGTGCTGTGCGAGGTGGTGCTGTGCAGAGCCCAGCGCTAGGCACTGGGCTTCCCTCTCTCCAGTACCCAAACTGGGCATCTGTGTGACTTGAGCAGCGCACCTGGGAACTGCTGTGGGGCATGGATGGAGGGGGGCATTAGGGAGCCAGCAAAACCTTGGGCCCCAGGTGGTGCAGGGAATATCTGCAGCTATTCTCTCTGCTGGTTGAGTTGCAGCCTGTCTGCCTCTCAGCACACTCTCCCACCATGCACACACCTGTGCACACAGTCCTGCCCACACACTTAGCCTCACTGTTAGCACAGCCTATGAGTTTCCCCTTACTCTTAGCACACACATACTTCCAAGTTCCTATGTCTAGCATAGATAGCCTTTGTTCCCCATGTAAATGTGTTCCTCTCCCCCTGGTGCCCCTGTAAATGTGCTGGACTCAGGCCTGTCCTCCTCCCCATCTGAATGTGCTTTCCAGCCACCATTGCTCAGTACACTTGTGTCTGCTGTCTGTGGAACTGGCCACCACAAAGTCCTTGTACGTGTCGCACCATGTTACCCTGTGTGAACAGCTGCCGTTGCCCTGGACCGAGACCACATAAATCTACAACGTCCCATGCCCCATCTCTCTCACTGCACTATTGACATCCCACATTCCCCCGACTCCTGGTGCTGGGAGTGTACCCATCTCCTCCAGCTTCTGACATCCTAGAAGCATTTGCTCTGATGTCCTGAATGCTTCGTGCACTCCCCACCGCCGGCATCTCATACACCTCCCGGCTCCTGTATGCACGTGTTCCCAGCCTGTACGTGCTTGCCCCCGCTCCCTCTGCTGCCTGGCAGGTAGGCTGTCCCCCACCAACCTCCTCCTCACAGCACACACGGCCCTTGGCAGCAGACCTGCTGCTCCTGACGCATGGTTGTTACCGTATGAGCCTTCCCCTCCTCTGTGTGAAAGGTGCCCTGTAGGTCTCCTGTCGTCAGTGGTCATGCTTACTCTGTTGCACTTCAGTGCTGATGGATGCTTCTCCCTCCCCGCCGTTTCTCTCGCTCATGCTTGCTGCTGTGCACCAGTGCACGCGGGCGCTCATGCACTGCCACCCATCCTTCTGCTCGCCTGCGCGCCAACGGGTTCTGGACTCGCCGTCAGCTCATGTTCACGCTGTCTCACTCCTCCTGGAGCCCCATGCTCAGCTCCCTTGGTGCGGGCCCGCCTTCATGGGGGGAGGAGGAGGGCAGCTTGCTGTGGGGCTCACGCTTAACGCGCTGTGGACGTCATCATCCGTCTAGGGCTCTCACTTGCTCGCTCATTCTGGGCTCAAGCTTGCTCACTCTCACCGTGGGGCTCACCTGTGCTCATCCGGGCTCACGCTCACTCGCCGTGGTGCTGGGGCTCACGCTCACTTGCTTGCTCTTGTGCTGGTGCACATACATGGCTCACATTGAAGTCTTCACCCCATTTGGTCGTGGCAGCAGCAGCAGCTCCTGACACCTCCTCCTGCAGTGGGACAGGGCCAGGATGAGTAGGGATGGGAAGGAAAGGAAGGCTGATTTTTTTGCCGCTAGCTTTTCCCAGGCAGGCAGCATAGGTGTAGCCAGCAGCCCCCTGTCCCTTTGGGGTCCCCAGTGGGCACAGGCCTCTCTGTGGTCCAGCTCTGCTCAGCTCCGGGAGCAGCTGCAGCCCCAGTCCTGAGCTGTGCCTGGTTCCTTTGGTCCAGTCCTTCTCCTCCTTTTCCTTTCCTCCTCCTCTCCTGCTCTTGCTCCCCTCCTGCTCCCCTCTGCTCCCCACACTGGGTCGCACCCCACCGCCCATGGGGGTCTGCATGCCAGGGACTGCCTGGTGGAGACAGACCCTGCCCAGAGGCGCCTGCCCGGTCCCCGGTAGCCGGAGTCCAAACCCCGACTGCTGCTGTGCCAGTGCCCACTCCGTGGCCTGTCTGTCCGTCCACTGGCGCCCATCGCTGACAGACTCGTGTCCGTGTTCTGAGTATAACTTGCCAAACTCTTTATTCTTTCGATATTTGCAGATATGTGCCACTGTTTCCAACTTTTCATCAACAAAAAGGCCTTTCCAACTCCTTCCAAATTAGAAGATCCAGGTGGTTACACACGGCACCTCTGTACAAATTCTCTCACTTTTCATTGCCTCTCCAGGGCCGGATAAGGGATGGGCACTGGGATTGATCTAAGATTAGAGGCTCGCCCGCCCTCCAGCCAGCATGGGTCCCCCCCTCGGAGACACGCAGGAGCCTTTTAAATCCCCCCAATGTAAAGTCTAGGAAGCGCTGAGACGGCCTGCGCCTGCACTTTAAGCTGGGACATTTCTGGGCCTGCTGGATGCTGTCTAGGCACTTTCCATGCTCGGGGATGCCAGGCGAACGACCCTCATGGGATGGGAAGACCTGCAGACCCGCCGGGACCGGGCGACAGCAGCGAGTGGAGCTGGATGGGCCAAAAGACGCTTTGCTGCTGCCTGCGGGAGCTGCTGTTAGCGCCTGCCGCTAGCACTCAGCTCCTTCCTCCCTACTGCACCTCCTGCAGCCTGCATGGACTCCTGCTCCTCCTCCTCTTCCTCCTCGCAGCAGAGCAGCCATCTATGTCTCTTTAGTTTTCTTCTCTTTCAATCTCTTTGTTTTGTTCTGGGCCCAAAAGCAAGTGAATCGGTGTCCCAGGCGCGTGGGGCTCGTGTCCCTTTCTGATCCAAAGCACATGGGGCGCTCCCGGACTGAGGGGGTGTGTAGGACGCTCCAGAGAGACGCTGCCGCTGCCCTTCTGCCATTGTTGTGATTCTGAATGTATTGATTGTGCTCCATGCCGTGTATGACTTGATATTTTCCTCTGTCCTAAGCACTTTGAATGAGTTCTGCTCAACAGACTGTATATTTCATATTGTATTTATTGGAGTTTGCTCGCACCGCAGCCGCCCTCGGGGGCTGGCGGGTTTTGCTCTCAATTCTCTAGACGTGTGATAGATATTTATTGTCCATGCTCTTTTGTAAGGGGCTGGTATCTCTCTCTGCCCGGTGACCTGTGCTACTTTGTATGGTGCAAGTGTGTTAACAGAATAAATCTGTTGGATTAGTAGAGGTGTGAGTTCCTTCACTGCCTTTAGCCTCTCCTGCTTCCATCCATGCTCCACCTGCATCCCATGCCATTTCTGTCTGTTGCCATGTCCTGTGTGCCCCTGCGGGAGGGAGGGTCAGAGGTAGCCCCGTTCTGCTAGGAGGACAGCTCTGCTTGCAGTTGTGGGGGGAGAAGACAGCTTGCCAGGGGACAGGCTGGGGGGAGGCTGGGCCTGGAGTGTCCCTAGAGGGGACGGGCGAGATGTGCTGGCTGCTCCATGCGCTGGGAGACCTGGCCTGGGGGAGAGTGGTCTGGTCTGGTAGCCTGCTGGGGATGGTGGGGCCATGTGTTTCCATCTCCTGTGCCCCTGTCTCTAATGGATCTGTGTCTCTTCTTTTCCAGTCTCGAAAGGGTGCGGACCCGGAGCGGGAGAAGAAGGTGCCGGAGTGTAAAGCGGACAGTATCGGCAGCGGGCGGGCCATTCCTATGAAGCAGGTTCGATCCTCCTCCCTTCACCCCCGTGTCAAGCAGGCTCCCTGGGGAAGTGCTGCGAGGCTTTGTGGTACGCCGGGGAGCCTTCGCTCCGTGTGGGAGAGCACAGAGGAGCTGGGTGCCCCTTGGCCCGACTCACCGGGTGCCCTGGGGGCTGCACACCCGCCTGGACCCCAGGAACGCGGTGTGTGGGATTGCTGGCGTGGACCCTGCTCTGCGTGCCGGTGCTGGGTGCAGAACAAGGGCTGCTCCGATGGCTGGCGGAGCAGTTCCAGCAGAGGGCATCCGCACCCTGCATCTGCGCCCCAGCGCATTCCCCACTGCAGCACTGCGCTCTTCCTCTCCTCTCTCTTCTCCTCCTCTTTGCTTCTGCTCTGCTCTACAGCTGCCCTCCGGCAGGACAGGGAGCCTCTCCTCTCCTCATCAAACAAGCCCATGCCTTGAGTGTCGTGAATCCGAGTGAGGCAGCCACTTGTCCTCTCAGCAGGGCATTAGACTCCTGCCTCCTGGCTTCCAGGAAAGCTTGAGCTACCTGGAATTGACCCTTGAGTGTTGCCTACCCGTGTGTCCATCAGCTGGGAAGCAGCAGTGGGTAATGTCTGAGCAAACCAACTGGTATGGATTGGCTTGATGGTGTGATGGTGGTTCCACCAGGATTTCTGTGCACTACTGGCAAGGCTCACCCATGCACTGCTTTGCAGCACGTGGCTGTGCTTCTGTTATGCAGCATCTGCCTACACACTGCCAGACCTGAGCTGCTGTGCACATGAGGCTGGTTACATCTAGGTGGGACCAGGCTGACAGGGGAATGGGGTGCTGCATCAAAAGAGGGAGACTGTGCTTGCTGCTGCCCTTTCCAGTCCATGTAGTAATACATTGGAAGGTTTGCAGAGGGCTCTTGTCAGTGCCCGTGGCAGGGGAGTGCAGTGGAGCAGCTGTGTTTGGGAGGGCAGCATGTTAGAGGTCAGTGTGGGGACCAGAGGGGAGCAGTGCAGGGCAGGGTCTGTGGGGTCTTGCACGTGAGGGCTCTGCTTCCAGCATGCTGAAGGTTTGCACAGCCCCAACAGGAAGGGGCTTACCAGCTGCATGCCAGGTCATGCCCCGTCTCTCCCTGTGGCACAGGTCCTTGTTTTAATCTCCTGGTTGGAGCAGGGATCAAAGCTCTTTTAACTGTTTCTCCCACCTTTTATGCTGCTGAGGTGCTTGCCCGTCTGCCCACACTGCTCCTGTTATTTCCATGCAGACCTGGCTGCCTCTGCATATCCTTGGTAGGGGCCATGTGCTGGAAATGATGGCCATGCCTATGCTAGCACCACCCAACACTGACCAGAGAGCTGCAGGCTGAGCAGCCCAGGCCCTGCCTCCATGTGACGTGTGTTGCCTTTTGGCTGCCAGTCAGTGTGGTGGGGACATGGTTTGTGGTGGCAGTGCTGATGTGCTGTGGTTTTGAGTCAGCCCAGCATGGCAGGTGGGGGAAACAGTGGGCAGTTGGTGAGTGGTGATGAAGGGAGGCCGAGGGCAGAGACTGGAGCCTTAAACTAGACCTGACTTGGTTACCCAAAGCTGTGCTGCTGGCTCCAGGAGGTCTGGTTGTGGAAGCATTTCCATGGCCTTTTGTTTCTGGACCTTTGGGTTGCTTTTTGCACTGTTTCACTTCGCTCATCAGGGCAAGATGCTTTCTTTAACTGCTCCAATGTCACTCTTCGTTGCTAACTGGGCCTGCCCTTGTCCAGTCTGCTGGAGATCACAGTGGTTTAGTGTAATTACTAAGTTATTTCTTGCTGTAGGCAGGACAGTGCTGTTACTGAGTTCAACAGGTAGAGAACGGAGACAGGCAAAGGTCTAGGTTTGTGAAACAAGGCTTGGGCATCATTCCTGTGCTTTGCAAGAGGAAGTAGGTGTGAAGCTGCTTGCCTGGTTCAGGACTTAAGTGAAGTGATCAGGTTGCCCAGCAGCGGCTCTCCAGGAGAGCCCGGTGCAAAACGTTACCTTGTGAGACCTGGGTCCATGCTCAGGCTCAGGACTGGCACCTCCTGGAGCCAAAGCTGCAGAAGGTGATTCCACAGAGGAGATCCTGGCAACCTTTTTACAGGAACATGTACTGACACTGGGGGAAGCAGTGTCTGGTCAGAAGGGTAGACATCAGTCTATGCAAATGGCTCTCCATCCCTGGGCTCTGACTGTCTTACACCTTACTGGAGTTGCTGGCCCTGTGACAGTGCTCGGGCCACAGAGCACTGCTGTGACCTGTCTCTTGAGGTACTGTGGCACTCTGAAATTGCTACCCTCTCACTGGTTGAATTGCACAGTTGTGCTACAGCATCTTAAGAAGGCACAGAGCTTTGATCCTAAAGGAGAAAGCAGGCCAGTATCCACATAGAATTGTAGAATCACAGAATGGTTTGGGAATGGAAAGGACCTTAAAGCTGATCCAGTTCAAATCCCCTGCCATGGGCAGGGACACCTTCCACTAGACCAGGTTGCTTGAAGCTCTGTCCAACACGGCCTTGAACACTTGCAGGTTATAGGTTATGTGTGTAAAAATGCAGTGTAGTAGATCCAAAGTTATCACCAGAGTGCTGCAGTTGTGCACTGTCCTTGCTGCAGCCCTTCACCAAGTTGTTCCTCCAAGAGGAGCAATGATTGGTGCCACCAGTGGAAAAGGAGCAAAATCTCTCAGCAGCTGGAGCTCCAGATCCTAAAGATTCATGATTGCTCTGCTTTCTGATACAGACCTGCCCTTCCTGGAAGATTGTGGAGATCTTGTTGCTTGCTATCTCTCTGAAGGGCAGTGAAAGAGCAGGGCCTTTAGCTTGTTTTACTCTCACATGGTCTGGTGGTCCTGCCCAGCTGTAAACTGCCAGAGAAGCCAATGATTTAGAGGCTGTAGAGTGGCAAACATGCAGGATCTTCTGCCTGGGTGCTTGGGCAGGTTCAGACTGCTTCGCTTCCCTCAGTATGTGCGCTGCTGGGCTGATGGCAACAGATGCTGTGTTGGGATGCTGCAGCCACTGATGGGTAACTCTGGGAGCAGTTTGATTCCTCTGCTTGGAAAAATAAGCCTGGTGCATGCTTAAATTGCCTGAGGTAGCTGAAGTCAGCAGGTGATGCAGTGCAGCAGTAAGGGTGGTTGCCCTGCAGACTCCTTCCATGATACCTGTGGCTGTGATCACTGTGATGGGTACATACATTCCTGAGGTACCCAAGAAGAGAAGTAGCACTAGAGACTGCTGGCAGCCTTGTCTGGTGCTTGGTGGTTGGCAAGGCAGACCATGGAGTGGGATGCTGGGTTAGGTGGTGCAGAAAGGAGAAACACTGGGAGGAGAAGGGCCATACACTGCCCCGGAGGTGTGGTGGCTGGCTGTTGGTTGTCACACCTGAGAACAGCACCTCTGGGTGACCTTTCTGTGTCCCTTACGCACCAAGCACACCTAGGAAAAATGGAGATCCCCACTGGGACAAGTGAAACCATGGATGCCAGTGCCCCTCTTCACCTCAGACAGCATTTCCTCTCCCTGCAGGCTGCAGGGGCAGTCAGTGCCTCTGCTGGGCCTGCTCCACACCGTGGACTTGGGATCACCTTGCTGTGATGTCCTTTTGGTGCTCTGTAGGTTCGAAGATGGTCTTGCAAGGTTGGAAGGGCTTCTTCTGGACGCTAGTCTCTGAGAAGTGGGTTAATTAGGCCGGGAGACTAAGCTTCCCCAGCTGTTCGTTACTAGGAATGGAGTCCTAATTGCACTTGTACCAGATACTTTCTGGGAAGGCTGTGCTGAATGCACAGGCAGCCCGGGGGTCCCCAGGTCCCTGGCCCAGCTCAGTTTGGGCCATGCACTCCAGTAGGACCCAAGGCGGGTGACTCCTCCTCCTTGGGAGCTAGGATCATGCTGGGAGCTTAGATTACATTTAAATTGCCATTTGCATTTTCCAATCAATACGCGACTTTACAATTAAGTTTGTTGTTAAAATTCTTAGCAAAAAGTGAGTGGAAGGGAGATTTGTGGAGTAAACGAGTCCTTTGGGGGCCATCGCTGCTCCCTGCTTCATTACGCTGCATATTGCTGCTGCTGCTTTTACTGTGCACCGCCACAATCCTAACACAACACAGACACTTGCACCGGCCGACAAAATGAAGGGAAAGGAAAGAGGGGAGAGGAAGAGGGTTGGGCTCTCTCCCCTTTCATCTCTGGCAGCTTCTTTCCTTCGTGCTTGACTTGGGAAGAAACTTATGGAAGTGTGAGTTACTTCTTGTGAATCTTTCTATGAGAAGCATAAGGAGCTTGAGGTGTGATGGTGTGAGCAGGGGCCTCGGCACCCTGAGGAGCCCAGCCTGGAGGCACACTGCGGTGCAGGAGCATGCCCTGGACCTGCGTGGAGGGGATGAGTTCAGCTGCCTCCAGCGTTTCACATGGCCTTGTCCTCCTTGCCTCTTCTCACTTCGCTCTGAGCTGCTGCAGGGGCCTTCCTCCCTCCAGCAAAACCAGAGTGCCCTGGGTTGGGTGCTGCTGGGCCAAAGCTTTGCATCCTGCCATCAAAAAAGAAGTTGGGCTGCAGAGTTGTTACCTTGAGGCAGTCAGCACAGTAGCACCATTAAAATCTGGGATCCTCTTGGCTTCTGTCCCCTGCCTCTTAATCTGCAACACAGCCACAAACAAGTTTAACTGAGCTGTATCCCTCAATTCAGCTGTTTCTTGCAAACGTTTGACCTTAAAGGCCCCTTTCCTCCCCTTCTCTCCCCCCCCCCCCCCATTTTATTAAATGTTTACTGTAGTTGCTCCCAGTTTTGGACTCTCATGCCTTCTGGCCTGAAAAAGTGGGCTGCTAGTGTTCAATTCTCTGTTTTCAGCTCTGGTTTTGCTTGTGTTTCAATTTGCAAAGTTCCACATTTATAGCTGAACTAACTGAGGCTGAACTCTTCTCTACAGGCAACACATTTTTAGGGCTTGATAGAAGATGCAGCAGCCTGAAAATGTTGAAGTAGGTATTTTGCAGCACCAAGGTGCATCAAGTCGAAGGCACATCAAGGAGAGGAGAGGCAGCCAGAGCTGTTTTGCAGTATGTATTGGCAGGTTGGACTGCAGAACTGAGCCAGGTTTAAGGCCAGAAGGGATCATTATGCCCAGAAGCCAAAGAATCTTACCCAGTGACTTTGAGCCAAATTTGTAACTTCAGCCTGGCCTGGAGCAGACTTGTTTGAAAGATAAGCAAGCAAGTGTTCTCAACTACAGAGCATCTGCCATTTGTCTAGTGTAATATTAAACTGTCTTTACATGTGAGGAGGAAGAATCGCTTTCATACACAGTGTGGGAAATGCATGGCCCAGCCGTGGTGCTTGAGAAGATGATTTTGTGATGGTCAGAACCAGAGCAGAGCCAGCCTGGTGTTGAGGAAGCACAGGTACCACTCTCTGCGTGTGAGAGGATGGCTTACAAGATCTGAGAAGCAGTCATGGTTCTGCCACAGTCAGGCCTGAATGGGCTGTGCGCTGGTCAGGTCACTGCCCTTCAAGCTGTGGGACAGTTGGAGGCTCCAGGGTGAGCAGGTTAATGCTCTCAGGAGCACGTTCTGCAGCGTGGCAGTAACAGGTTTGGGACTACAAGTCCAGAGGAGAGAAGAATACACAGAAATGTAATCACAGTCTTCAGATCACACTAAAGGCTGCTGCAGAGGACCCAGGACCGCTCTGTGGGGTCACCACCACAGGGGGCCCACAGGAAAACTGGAGAGGGGCTTTTGACAAGGGCAGGTGGGGGTAGGACAAGGGGGAATGGATTTAAACTGACAGAGGGGGGATTGGGATGAGATCTGAGGCAGAAGTTCTTCCCTGTGAGGCTGGTGAGGCCCTGGCCCAGGTTGCCCAGAGAAGCTGTGGCTGCCCCATCCCTGGCAGTGTTCAAGGCCAGGTTGGACTGGGCTTGGAGCAACGTGGTCTGGTTGAAGGTGTCCCTGCGTGTGGCATTAAGTGTCAGAGTCTGATCGCTGGTGGGAAGGAGCACAGTCTCCATCACTGGTGGTTTTTACAGAGAGGTTGGATTGATGTGGGTGCACCTGAGCTGCCATAGGGAAGGATGTGGTAAGCTGACCTCCGGACACTTCCAGCTCTGCTTTCTGTGATAACATCACACCTGGAGGTAATGCCGTCTGCCTTGTCCTACCTGGCAGCCCGCTGCCACGTTGAGTTGCCTTCTTCACTGAACCCCGGGAGGCTCAGGAATCTCTCAGTGATGGTGCTTTCCAGCCCTGAGAGCCCACCCTGATGGGTGGTCTGTCCCTGGAGCAGGACCTTGCATGAGCTGAACTAAAATGCGTGCTGTCCTCAGGAGCCCAGTTTGTATGAGGCAGATTGTGTTAATGACCGGTCACTGATCATTCACCTAGCTGTGAAGTTTCTGTGTTTCCTTCAAGTTTTATGGTTTTGTGCTTTCTCTGAGCTCATTTGGGGAAGACATTGGTTAAATCCTGTGAATCAAGTGCAGACTGGCTGGACCTCTATACAAGCACTTCTGTTGGATGTGGATTTGCCATTTGTGATCACACTTGTTCTCATTTATGATGGTTTGAGACATTTTGCTTAGCCAGTTTTTACTCTGTACATTAATGGCCTTATGGATTTTGTACGGTTGGTTTTTAATGGTGTGTGCTGCTTAGTTAAAATCCTGAGTGAAAACTAAAAACGCTATGTCAGCACAGTGACCGCTGTCGTGAGATGTTGCCATCTTACCAAAAGTGGGATCAAACTCCTCTGATGACCTCTTTCTGCATGGGGTGGTGTTAGTTCCATTCTGTACCCTTGTTCCTTGCTGATCACTTCTTGTGGTGGTTTTCCAGGGTTTTGCCCAGTGTAAGTGTCCAGCTAAGTGACTGTAATTACAAGGGTCATTGCTTTTCCCCTTGCAGATCTTGGCAGAGCCTGAGCTTTCCGACTGCCGCCATGTTCCGAGGCATGTTAAAATCAGCACCTTTTAACCGCTGCTGAGTGAGCTCTTCAGCTAATTCTCTGAGCTGTTGAAGGCAAGGGACCACATCCTGCCACCAACACAGCTTAGCTTTTGCTGCTCTGTTTCAATTTTCTCTCCCTTGCATGGGTAGGAGGCGTTTCCTTTTCACACTCTTTGCTTCCCAAGTACTGAACATAAGCGGTCATGGAGCACTTCTGCCTTTTCTGCATCATTTATTGCTGATTTCATGGTCATGTCTGGCAGCGTTGTTACCCCAGCATGTGCCAAACCCTACAACTTTTTGTTGTGTTTCTCCATCACGCAGGCACAGCAGTCTCAGTCTCTAGGCAGTGGGACGGGGCCCCCAAATATGCCGAGGCTGGCAGGACAGAGACTTTCTGTCAAGGTTTTTGAGGAGGTGCTGGCCTGGGGCCCAGATTGTTGCCACGTTAGGAACAGCCAGTCTGGATGTCTGTCCAGACAGGGCTTTCGGACAGCCCAGGCCCGACAGTTGATAGATCCAGCTTTTTCCCAGACTCTGGTATTCATTTGTACTTTTATCCCCCTGTGTTTTCCTCTCCTCTGTGCCAGCAGAATACTTGATGTTCCCTCCCCCAGAGCCTTTGCGTCTGGCTCCTCATCCTGTCTGCCTTCTCCCTCTCCACCTCTGGTCCTACCTGGTTCATGATAAATTGCTGCTAGAAGCAGTTTCATGGGAAGGCAGAAGTGGGTAGGGAGGGGGTTAGAGGTGTCCAAGCTCTGAGCGTTGATTCAGATCAGTGGGAGTTCTGGGTTATTTCTGGGTTGGGCTGGTGGGAAGAAGGATCTTCAGAGCATGGGAGCACAATCATTTTCAGACCATTAGCAGTGTGCTTTCCCTGAAGACCATAGGATGGGTCTTATGTAAATCCTGATAGGGAAGGGGGGTGAAGTGACCCCTCAACTACCCAGACATCTGTCCCTAGCTCCATTTGTTGACATCTCAAAGAAGTAAATGCAAGCAGGCAGGAGAATACACATCCCCAGTGGGATCTGTACCTTGAGTGTTGGCTGGCCCCTACGTGTCCCAAATTGTCCTTGCCCTGATCATCCCTCTTGCTGTGCTTTCAGTGATGGAAATAGGTCTGGGAGCACTGTGGTAATGGAGCAGTGTTGGTCGGTTGGGAAGTTGGCTTCTGCCTTGTGTTGTCACTGTCCTTCAGCACAAGAAGAGTTGCGCAGGGGGGAGTAATTTGGGACAGCAGAACGCATTATGGGTCCCTCAGAGGATCTGGGCATCAGTACTGGCATGTGGAGACCCTTGTCTCTGGGAAAGGGGGATGCTGTCCGTGGAGACATGCACGGATTGATGGGGAAAGGGGTGCAGCCCTTTTCCTGCCAGTCCCAGGGAAAACACTGCTGGGAAAGCCCACCTAGAAGATGTTTTCTAGTGTCTATCTTTGTGTCTTTCCAAGGACTGGTCTACAGGGGGCAGTGCTGGAGCTGAGCAGGAGGTGCCTGGTCCAAGCAAGGTCTGAGACTCTTGACACTTGTCTTTCAGGGCATTCTCCTCAAACGCAGCGGCAAGTCTCTCAACAAGGAGTGGAAGAAGAAGTATGTGACGCTGTGTGACAACGGAGTCCTCACCTACCACCCCAGCCTGCATGTAAGCACTGATCTGGGTTAGGATGAGGGGTGGAGTGGGAGAGAGCAGTGTCCTCCTTCATGCTATGGCTGCTGCGGGTCCTTCTGCAGATGCCACAGTAGCAGATTGTTGCTTGGGCAGGGTTTGGCAGGAGGTGAAGGCCCTGGGCTCTGCCCACAGCAGGGCCCTGTGAGGATGTCCAGCATGAGCCCTCAACAGGGCAGCCTGAGCTGTTTTTTACCATGGCCTGGAGAAACTTCTCCTCTTTCAAGAAGGCTGTCTCTGCAGTGCCAGGCTGGGTGGGTAAAGCTGATAGGAACATGGTTTGCACAGAATTATGCTAGGTAAATACATCTTTTCTCTGTTGCCCTTGTTCCATCCATTAAAGCAGGGGTTGCTGCGTCCGTGCATCTGGGGCGAGGAGCAGGCAGAGAACTCCTTGCAGCCGTGGCTGATGGTGCCATTTGGGTGTGGAATAATTTTCCTGGCTGCTAGGTATTGGGTAATGGAGATGAGGTGCCTGTGCAGAGCCTGCCGAGCTGAGCTGTCACTCGATGCATCTCTGATCCTCTTCACTGCTTGGCTCAGGCTCACAGCTGCCTCCCCATCCATCTCTGTCGCCTCCCCACTGTGGGGCTAATGACTTCTTCCCCATTCCCTCTTGAGCACAGTTTGCTGCTGAGACAGTGAGCTGCGGACGGGCACACCTGTGACACCGGGGCCGCAGCACCCTTTGCAGAGGACATGCTGCAGCGGGACAGCCGGGCAGTGGCTGGGGAGCGCAGCGTTGGGCCTGGGCACAGGGCAGGTTAGGGCTGCTGGAGGGCCCACCAGGGCTAAAGGGAGAAGAGCAAGGTGTTGCTGCTCCTGTGCTTCCTAAAGCTCCTGGGCCCTCGATTTGTCCTTGATCTCCTCAGACACATGGGTCTTGGAGTGCCCTGAGCCTCAGAGTCTTTCTCCTCTGTTCTAATCCTCCATCTCTAACTCATGGGCTTGCTATGCTCAGTTGACCGGCTCCTGAGCTGCTGTGGCTTTTAATCCTCCTATCCTTACACTTTAAAGCCAATCATTCTTTGCCTTAATTTGTGGAAGCTTTAAGAGCACTTTCTTCTTTCTTTTAGTCTTTGATCCCTGTACCATACTTTGGTTCTGCAGTTCCTTAACTTTGTAACCCCATTTTTTGATCTTTAGAGAACCAGACTGGAGGGAATGGCTGCTGCCACTGCCTGCTCTGTGTGTGTGCTCACACGCGTGTGTGAGTTTATCACATTTCCATCAGAGACATCATAGGCCATTATTACAATCAGCTGTAGAGGAAGAGCAATTTCTGGGATGGTGTTTAACCACTTTCCAATGCTGCTGCTACACACTAGGTTTCTCTCCTTTTTACACTGTTTCTTCCTCAGGGGGTGATCTAGATTGATGACCCTTTCTTTCCTTACTGCACTTCTTCAGCGTTTCATTCCATTACTGTGTTGCCCCAAGCAAAAATCTTGTTTGCTTCTACCTGTGATCCACAGCCCATTGCTAAGAAAGGTACAAGATGGGCCTCTTCTCCCTCAGGTTGCACTGCAAGCTTTGAACCTTGTGCCCAAGATAGGTGTTGACTTGCCTTATCTTGACCTACAGCAATGGCTGGTTACATGTGGGCTGCAGAATGCAGAGCTGCCCAGCTCTGACTTCTGCAGCGATGAGGGGGTCTGCATCCTCCCTCCATGGCATTGCCTCCCTGAGAACCTACCATCACATTAGATGTTTTACAGCGATGCCAACAAAGGTTCTGGTGAGCAGTGTGCTGTTCTGATTAGCAAACCCACTTCGTAGTGCCTTGCCTTCCCTCTGGATACCTGGTTTACAACCTGCTTGGAGGGGACAGGAAGGAAGTCTGGAGGAAGAGGTGGTTCAGAAGAGCATGTCCCATTACAGCCTCACCTCCTCACCTTCTGGGGTGGATCTGGAGATGCTGCAGTGTGCTTGTCACCAGGTTTGTCTCCTGTGCCACGAAGCAAGTTCCCGTGTCCACAGGATGATGCAAGCAGGGCACATGAGGGTTGAACTAATGAAACCTGTGCTGCTGTGGAAGGGCACGTGCTTTGTCACTTCCATTGGTGGCAGCAGCTCTCAGGGCAGCAGGCACGTGGTGAGCTAACTGCTGGCAAGCACAGTGTGCAGATCCTCTGTCAAGGAGACTCTTGGCATCCTGAAATTCCTTCCTTGAGATGTAAAGTCCCAACTTCTCCCCTGCCTCGCTCAGAGTGAGCCTGTACTGCCACGTGTTTGGGGGTGGCAGAACTGTGGTGCAGCAGAGGTTTCTCTGGGGGCATTGCTGAGCACTGCAGGAGGAGGGGCTTTCACTGCCCCTGACAGGATGGTCAAGCCCCAGAGTACTTTTTGCTGGTATTATGTTCACAGTGGCTTTTCCTTGGCATGATTCAGGGCAGTTCCTGCCTAGGCTTCTGTCCTAGGTAGGTACTGCAGGGATCAATAGCCTTGCCTTTCTTCCTTTTCCTCCAGTAGACATATCTGCCCCAGATGTGTCTGTTCCTCATTTGGATGAAGATTACTGTGTAGCTCTGATTGGGTCATAGTTTTGATTTTACCAGCTTTGTGGCAGGGCTCTTCATCTGCTTTTGGGTGTTTATTACTTGACCTGTTTCTGAATCTGTATCTTAGCAACTCCAGCCCCACTTCAAAGTTTCCTCACTGAGAGTCATTCTTAAACTGTGAGTTTGCAGTCACACGTTGGCAAAGAGTATTCCAGTGAATCACAGAATGGTTTGGGTTGGAAGGGATCTTAAAGCTTATCAGTTCCAACTCCCTGCCATGGGTGGGGACACCTTCCACTAGACCAGGTTGCTCAAAGCCCCATCCAGCCTGGCCTTGAATGGGCTGGGTCCAGCCCTGAAATCAAGTGTTCTATGACTCCCTGGTGGAAGTGTGTATCTGCCTTGACTGCCAGCCGGGACCTGCACTTGTGTCCTACAGGGACTTGAGGTGCTTCCTCTGCCTCCTCTCTGAACAGCCATCCGTTTCAGAGACTGTGAGCAGGATGCCTGAAGTTAGAGCAGGAGTGCTCGGGGGCCTCATCCCTGAATTCAGCACAGCTTTCCTTGTTGCATCTGTATTTTTCTTACCGTTCTGTGGGTGTCTTTAGTGAAACGAAAAGAACAAGTTTTATGAAGAGACCAGTGTGGTTTCCTATCACTTTCCCAAAGCCTTGGAGAGTAAATGCTTCTGCTCGTGAGGAAGGCGTTATGTGGTTCAGCCCAGCTTCACTGGCCAGGCTGTGCTGTGCTGCGCCGAGCTAGAGAGAAAGCATCTCCCATTTTGCAGCCAGTGGAGCCATTCACACAATCACCTTCTGTTAATTCTATCTGCAACATCAATTAAATTGTTTGTAGAAACTAATTGAATGTGGCTTAATCACACATCTTAATAGCTTTCCACGCTTTGAACTCGTTGTTAATTCCAGTAATAAAATGAAATGAGAGAACTGGCTGGGTAATTAGCGAGGAGGCTTGGGAAGAAATTGCTGTTTTATAGCATGTAATAAAAGCAGTGCGCTGGTGACCGCTCTCTCCGGCAGGCAGGCGGCTACTGCAGCAATTGTGCTGAGTTAGGGAAAATCCTCCAGCCCCTCTGAGATTCCTTGCCCACCAGGCTCCCACCCAAGCAGGGACAGCTTGGAGCAATGTTTGGTTGGGCTGGTTATGTAGGAATTCCCTGGGGCACCAAAAGGGATGTGTGTGCATGTGTTATTTGAGGTCAAGGCACACAGAAGTTGGAGGCACAGAAGGGTGTGCTGCCACACTGCCCCGTCTCTTGGGTGTGCTGTAAGGACTGGATGCCTGGCACTGGGTTCTGTGGAAAGAGAAGAGTTCAAACCCAGGGGCTGAGGTGCTGCTGGGAGTTTGTAAACCCTGCAGGTAGTAGTCATCTGAGACCACAGAACATTGCCCCAACTACAGCCCCCATTCACCTGCTTCTTGGAGCCAGGGACTGGGAGAATGGTTGCTCTTAAACTGGTCTTGTTCATGTCCTTATGTCTTTGGATCTGGAAGGAGATGGGGACCAGCTCTGAGTTAATTTTTTGGTGACCTCCTTGTGAACTGGAGCAGACCCAAGCCTCCCCGCAGCAGCTGCAGTCTCACCCTGGGCTGTTGCTGCCACTTAGCTCCCGATTGCAGTGCACATCCATAGCGCAGAGAGCCAGGGGAAGATGCACCCATGTCACGATTCCTCCCAGAATCGTAGCACAGCTTTCAGTCTCTGCTCCCTAGAGGTCTGCCCAAGAGCAGGGCAGGAAAGTTCCCCTCTGTGCGTCTCTCTGGATATCACATTGCTTGGGTCTTCCCCTTTTGGCCCAAGGAAGAGCCAGCCACATCAGAGAGGGTTAGGGGAGAGCTGCAGTGCCCTGAAGAACAGGGATGGGGTGAAGATACGGGAAAGGGGACAGCTCTCAGGAGAGGCTAGAGGTCTGCAGCCTTACTTTGATCAAAAGAGGGGATGCTATTAGGAGACAGTGCAGAATGACATTAACAGTCTGCGTGTGGAGGTTTTGGCTGAGTAATAGTCTGCCAGAAGAAAGGGGAAGCACCAACTTTTGAATAATCTATGAATTTCAATAAGCTATGCAGGCAAATGTACAAGAGAGTTATCCTGAGTTGTGTTGTTTTGGGCTTGAATTACCCTTGCTTTGACCCAAGAGGGAATTTCCAGGTACCCCATTACTTACACTGTCCTATATTATATTATTAGCTGTTACAGCTGAGTGCTATGATTAAAAGGACAATAGATGACAGGGAAGAAGAACTGCCTGCCGCCTTCGTGCTCTTTTGCTCCATCTAATCTCTGATTCCCAGCCAGGCTTTCACAAATGGGCTTGTCATGGCATCTGACTGCCCATAGCAACATCCCACCGTTACTCATATCAAAGCTGACTAGTTCTGGACACTGAAAGTGAGACCTGTCACTTCTCCGCAGCCAGCTGTAAGGCACCAGCTAGTCATGGGAAGAAGGCAGGTTGGAGTCAAGGCTTTGCATCCGTGTTGTCAGAAAACAGCTGGCTGTGGACACTGGGGAAGTTGTAGGGCCTTCCACCTCTAGCCCACCTGACATGAGACTTCAGTATAGTGCAAGAGAAACCAGCATGCAATGAGCTCCTGAATTGCTGGCTGACCATCTGTCTGGTAACCAGTTACCATGTGGATGAATGGATCTGGGGTTCAGTTTTGATTATGTGGATGAGAGGGGAGCCGAGAGTGCTGGGCCAGCGCAGAGCTGATCTCAAACCATTCTGCCTCTCTGCTGTAGGATTACATGCAGAACGTCCACGGGAAGGAAATCGATCTGCTGAGAACTACAGTGAAGGTACCGGGCAAGCGGCTACCCAGAGCAACAACAGCAGCAGCGCCCAGTGCCAGCCCCAAAGCCAATGGGCTTGCGAAGGAGAGGAGCAGCACTCAGCTCACAGGAGGCACAGGTAAGAGCTGGTGACCGTCCTTCCCTCTGGTTCATCAGCAGTGCCTTGCCTTGCTGAGCTGCAAACAGGAGTTGTTCTGAAGTTTCTTGCTTTCACCGCTTTGGAGGTGCCTTTGGTGGGTGTTGGCACTTCTGTATGGGTCTCAGGTAAGCTCCTAATGGGATTTTATGCTAGTTAGTGTCGAGGACAGAAGAAAGGGTGGAAGGGCTTTAACTAGTGGCGTGAATTTCCTGAGAGGAAACAGTGGAGTCTGATGAGTTTTACGAGTATATGGGGAAGCTGTTGCTTCCCAAAACAAAGGAAATCTCAACCAGGGATGTCTTGATCTCTGGAAAGTTCTCTTCTGTTTCTTTCCTTTTTTTGTGTCCCCCCCTCCCTTTCCTTTTGTCCTCACTTTCCCCCGGAGAAACAGTAACGGTAAGGGACTTGTTTAGTAATTCTTATCCTTTTGCGTACACACTGAAGAGGTGCAGCTGGCGCAGAGTGTTGAGAGGAGGTGAGGTTGGGAAGCTCTCTGGTGTCTCATGCAGTTCATGCCACACTGCTTACTGCTGCTTCTGCTGCAGGAGTTATCACTCCATGGAGAGCTGTTGAACTTGGAGCTTTCCTGCCCAAGTTTCCCAGGGCATAGACATGCCTTTATTTTGTCCTCTGGGTTGGTATCGTTGGCAGCATGAGCAGCCTCTACGCGTGTTCTTTCTAGCCAGCTGTTGGCAGCAGTCTAGTATAGCAGGGTATGGGTACCTCTCCACTCTCTGGGATAACAAAGGAGTGCTGCTAATGCTGCTGCTAACAGCAGTGCCACTGAGGGCGAACCAGATCCTGGTTTCTGTTTTGTGCTGCCCTGCAACACGGTTGTGTCCTGGGGTCTGGGTGTTGTTAGCACTGTGCTTCACAGCTTTCTGGAACCGAGGACTCATGAGATGGGTGCAGCTGGAGTGAATGCCAGGAGCTGGCTGGAGTCTTTGTTATCACACATGACACAGGGAATGTGGCATGCTAACATAAAGAGTCCTTCTGAACCTGAACTCCTGTTTCTTGGAGTCAGAATTAGTCTGCAGGCAGATAACTGCCAGTCTTTGTGGACCAAGGCTGTGCAGCTCTGCCTGGTTTCTGCCATGGCTCTCCACTGTACACTCATGTCTTCACCACACTGTACACCTTCAGCATGCCTGAGCATGGTAACAATTCCTGCCTCAGCACAGAGGCACTTCTCAGGCTTGCATTTCTAGGGTGCTTTGTCTGAGCTCCTACTCAGGTTATCAGAGCTGTAGGAGGAATTCAAAGACAAATCACGGAAAAGCTTATGCTGATGTCAAACCAAATGATCACATAACCCTGTATCCTGCTTTCAACAGTCATCTCAGTCCTGTTGGGCTCAAGAGAGCAGATTGAGATGTGACTTGGTTACTGATCACTGCTGCTAGGAAAGACAGCATCTAGAAGTGAGCACTCTGCGAGGCCTTTCAGTCTGGTTGGCAAAGCCTGAGGAAACTCAGTGCGTGGAGGCTGAAGTTAAAGCAGTTTAAACTTGAGATGAGATGTAGATTCCTAGCAGGGAGGGTAATTAAATGTTGGAATAGTTTATCTGGAGAGCTAGTGGACTTAGCCCTGCTTGAAGCCCTTAAAATGAGATTAGTTATCTTTCTACAAGATACGCTTTCATCCAGCTCACGTGTCTGTTGCTGCATGCATATGTGCAGGGATTAACCTGGATGGATACAATAGTCTTTTTGCATGTAGAGATATGTGAGTTTGAGATTCCCTGGTCACTGTCTTCTCTCTGGGCCCCTGAGCAGAGCAGCACTACCCAGAGCACACGCATCAGCACGGGACTCAGCATTAAGGCAGCAGCCTTAATCAGATTTTATGTCTTGGCTTTGGGTGGTTGTCTGCATTGGTCAGAAAGGCTTTTACTCCTGCTACACAAATGGTAAGGTGTTTTCTGAGGAATCTTTCAACTCACTGTGATGTCTCCAAGACTGATTGTAGCTGACAATGCAGTCACCACGGTAAGTGCACTGACATGATAAAGGTCCTCTGAGGTGACTTGCTAATATCCCTGTGTAATGCCGAGTACTGTGTTTGGGGTTGGTGAAGAATCTGCCGTGCTTCAAATTACGAGGGCCTTCACAATTTTGCTGCCTTTGGGGCTAGGGATATGACTGTAACAGGAGTCTATTGAGCATCTCTCATTTAAATCCATACTTTGGGCAGCTAGAGAGAGGGCACCTCCAAATCTGCAGTTCTCTGCCAGTGCACAGGTTAATCTTTAGAGGACATGAGCTTTGGAGACCTGAATGATTTGCTGTCTTACACCAGGAGTATCTAGGTAAAACCAAATGGCCTGTGTTTAGAGTTCAGAGCAAGTGGTCCATGGTTTCTTTGTGACTTGAGCTCTGCCAAGGTAAGTGAACATGCTAATTGAAGTCCACTACATGTGCAGTCCTTACCCAGGGGCAAGAAAAGTAGTAGATAAAGGGGGAGAGGAGAAAGAAAGGATAAAGTACCTCACACTGCCCTGTGTGGATAAAATATGTATATGTGCCACTTTGGTGGTGACTCAAAATAACTTCCAAAGTAGGCATAGACAGTACAACTTGAAGCTAAATAAAGCAAGAATGGGGAAAGAGCTTGTACTTGTGAAACCTGTGGGATTCTGAGCTCAATGGGTGATGGTATTTAAACCATTGAAGAAGGCAACCTTATTTAGTCAGGGTTGGTTTTATTTTAGGTTGCATGTGTTCCCATTGTAAACCCTGTTGTCAGAGGAACAGAACGTTGTCAGCCTTTGCAGCTGCCTTATGTCCACCTAAGGCTTGCTGTTTGTGCAACATACGTGCAAATGTGATGCTGTCCGTGTCCAGGGAAGTTTTGCAGTCTCCCTTCTCAGAGGTAATCAGAAAATAACCAGACAGAATCCAGAGCAGCTGGCTCCGGGTGGCCCTGCTTGAGCAGGGGGGTTGTACAAGATGATCTCCAGAGCTCCCTTGCAGCATCAGCCGCACTGGCATTCTGTATTCGTCTTACCAGTAATAAAAATTTGCCTCCAAGAGGTGTATATCTTCAGACATTTGGTGCAGAGATGGTGCTCCTGGGAGCAGGAGTTTGTCCTGAATTAGAAACTTTTTTTTTTCCCCTTTATCCCTTGGAAAATGGGATTTGATCAAAGTTTTGGAAGTTGGTTACTGAAAGCTCTATAGCACCTAAATCTCTTCCTGGGCTGTCAAGAGCTCCTGGCAGAATGGTCTGTGCTTTTCTGTGATTTTTTTTTCATCACTTTCCAGCTGTAATGTCCTCCTTGCTTTTATTCTTGTATGCAGTTTTACTGGTAAAGAGACTATCCAGAGACAGAGGAGTCGCTAAGCTCAAGCTTAGCTTGAGATTCCCTGGTCACTGTCTTCTCTCTGGGCCCCTGAGCAGAGCAGTTCTGTTAATAGGTTTAGAGCTAACTAAATGCAGATAGCCAGCATTAGTACAACATGTACATCTGAGCCCTAAATCAAACCCTCCAACATCAGGAAATCCTAAAGTGCAGGTGCCTGGCTCGTATCCCCTTTGCCAGTTGTGTTAGTTGCATACCTGGACCTCCATGCAACAGCACGTTCTTCACCCAGGTCTCCATGCAGGATTTGCTTTTGCATGTCGTGCTTATCATCTCCCCAGTTATATCCTGGGAGACCAAGAGGACTCCTGTGAAGTGCAAGCCAAGGGGAGCTCATCCAAGAGCATTTTGGGTATGCCTTCTAGAAGCATCTCTTGTCTGCCCAAATACTTCCATGGCACTTTTCCTGCCACCTTCTTGTCCCCTTGTTTTTTTTGGAGACTTGCTGCAGACTGCCATTGAATCACTTGATCCTCTGACATTATGGTTCAGCCGTGCTGGCTACCGAGCTGTTGGGTGTTCCTGGCATGGTCCTGGCTTACAGCAAGGACTCTCCTGGGCAGCACCCTAAGGAGCAGTGCAAGCCAGCACACAGCTTGGGTGCAGCTTCTGGGGAGAGTTACCAACTATAGGCAAAAGCTTGGTTGTTCCAGGGGTCTCAGGGCAAAGAAGTGGTGGTGGTGGCATGCATGTCTCCAGAGTGTCTTGGTTTAAGCCCAGCCAGTAACTCAGAGCCATGCAGCTTCTCACTCACTCCCCACTTCCTCCCTCCCTGCTTCCAGAGGGACTGGGAGGAGAATCAACAGAATGTAACTCCCACGGGTTGAGATAAGAGCAGTCCAGTAACTAAGGTATAACACAAACCACTGCTACTGCCACCAATGATAATAATGGTAAGGGAAATAACAAGCGAAGAGAATACAACCACTCACCACCCACTGATTGATACACAGCCCGACGCAAGCAATGATCTAGGTCTTCCGGGTAACTGCCCCCAGTTTATATACTGGGCATGCCATGCTGTGGTATGGAATACCTCTTTGGCTAGTTTGGGTCAGGTGTCCTGTCTCTGCTTCCTCTCGGCTTCCCCTCCTCCCTGGCAGAGCATGAGGCTCAGAAAGTCCTTGGTCAGGGTAAACATTACTGAGCAGCAACTGAAAACATCGGTGTTATCAGCGCTGTTCCCAGGCTGAAAGTCAAAACCACAGCACTGCACCAGGTACTAAGAAGGAAAATAATGACTGCTACTGCTGAACCCAGGACACAGAGAGACCTCTCGGGGTGGGCAGGCCACTGCTTCGGGCTGAGCTTTCCATGGGGGAGCAGCACTGGGTCTGCTTTATGCAAACACCGCAGCCCTAGGTCTGGCACAGCAAGCCGGGAGAGGAGCTCAGCCCAGTACATGATGCTGTCCCACTTGGTACCTCACACTGACACAGGTTTTTAAGCAGGGGCCCTGCTGGCTCTTGTGTTCCACTGTAAAAGGAAACCCTTTAGTGGTACATATGTGGTCAGGGACAGCAATGAACTCATTTTCTGTCAAGCCATCTCTCCTTTGCCTGGGGTGGGGGGTTGTAGGTGGTCCACCTTCCATAGTCATGAGCAGAAGACTTCT